GGTGCTATAGTGTTAGGAATACAGGTTTATATTCCGAACGCTATATTGTTCCTATAATTAAGCTTCTGTGCCACTTGCTCATCCATAAGGGATTTAGTCACAAGTGTTTATGGGTGCATGAGAACAACAAGTTCCAGCTCAGTTTTCTGCATCTGTGATAAACTGGAGGGATCACCGGTGACATCACAAATCCCAGCATTCTCCATTTTGAGTCCCCGAGCAGAGACTGAGTGCTCACTTCTTAGGCTTCTTTACAGAGTGTAGGGGGAAATGTTCCTTAGCTCTGAACCTCAGAGCAATGCCAGATACTGGTGCATTTCACAAATTGTCTACACACTACTATGAAATGTGTCCATGAGTGGGAAAGTATCAGCTGTCGAACTGTGCTTGGACTGCCTGTGATTTGACCAGTGCTTTTGTAGGACTTCCCTTCTCCTGGTGCCATGTGTGGTCATACAGGGTGCAGACAGCATTTGAATGGACAAAATGCATGATGACTAAGAGACAGCCATTAGAGGAGGTATTAACCTAGAAAAAAGTATTGCAGTTTCTTAAAAACTGCATATTGTTTTGTTTTTCTTCGCATGACTAAACTGACAGCGGCAGTGAAACAAGTTCCCTTCATTAAGATGAAGTGGTCTGGGTACCTAAAGTTCCTTTTAAGTAGTGTTACGAAAATGAAATGACAAACTTTAATATTCTTTTACGGAGCCATCGGCCTGATAGTAAGAAGCATATTCCTTAGTAATTGAGTGTTACTATTTGTTGCTCTCCTTGATCTGTATTATGTGTATCATACATGAGAACCATTCATTAAAACTATCTTTATTTCAAAGTGATGGGAAGAATTTTGAGGAATAACCGGTAAATCCAATCTACAGCAAATACCATTCTTTCAATGTGGCAATTGATATGGCATTAAGACCATTTTGTAATGTGTAGGTATCATGTATTAATGACTGATATTTGGCTGTTGATTGTTTTCTTGTATTTGTTCTCTTTTATGTCCGGGTAGGATAGGTGTCCTCTAATGGAAATATTGATATATTAATACAGATGAGCACACATGGTGGTGTCCTCTTTTCAGATATTTGCCCCACTGACAAAGACACAATTACATTAAGGTAGGTTATATATTTGTAAAACATTTGTCTAATCTTTTGTTGAATACCAAAGTACTGCAAGGAAGTAGCTCTGTGTGACCAATGTGGATGGCTGTTAAGGCTTCCACCAGGTCACATAACCAAGCTAACTCTCCTGCTGGATGACCATAATAAAACACCAAGCCCATAGCGTTAGGCATGATAATATCTCCAAAAAGGATGTTTACTTCTGGAAAGCTGTTTGTAAGGAGTGTCCCTATTTTCGTTGGCTTGATCTTCTTGCCAAGATAGATTGCTTCTATTTGAAGCAGATGTTTCCTCAGTCACACCTTGGACCAAGGCCACTGTTCATGTGTATATGTCCTCTCTATGATGAAATTGACTTTGGAAAGCTGAGTTTTCTTATTATCCAAATGAAGCATTTGTCCTTGATTTCACTATTTTCCCTTTTTTTGTTATTGTTGTTGTTTTTGTGGGAGGTTTTTCGTATTTATTAACTTTTTCTCCAAGGAGAGGGATGTGTTGTAGAGACATATATACAGTATTCCTCATCTTTGCTATAATGCAAAACCCAAATGCCTGGGGAATGAATAAGGAGTGAGCTGGAACATCCACTTGTTTTTCCTTGAAAAACATTCTATGGATCATGTGATTTTGCAGATGATTGCAGTAAGTTTTAGCACCACTAATCCCAAGAGAAACTTTTACTTGCTCTTTATGGAAAGAAAAGAAAATTGGCTACAGTGCCAAGTTAGAACAGTAAACATTTAATTGTCTTATTGTGATATTTCTGTCAACAATATTTGTTAGGTATGTTGTTAGGTATGTTGACCCTAATATAGAATTCTGTTGTTCCCCTGTGTTATACCACAGGGATGAACCATTTTGGGCGAAGCTATTGTGTGTGTGCCATGTACTGACATTTTCAAACCTGTGGACCCCTGCCTGAACAGTCTACATGATAATTCATTGGTTGCCAATAAACACATTTTACGGTGGATTAAGGCCATCTCTTTCCAGCTACACTTTATTATTATTATATTTAGTTCTTTTTTTTTCTCTGAACCAAACCAATATTTTAGATCATGATGGTTTCGAAGTGATGATAAGACAGATATGCTGAGGGCTATTTTGTGCAAAAGCATCATGGAGTTAATGCTATTAGAGACACAATTTGAATTGACTGGTTATTTATCGATATCAGTTTTTATTGGTCATTTGATGAATTTTGTTTAGAGACTTATTTGGTATTTTACTGCAGTAGCTCACATAAGGATTTTAACTTGCCCCACTGCAGTCTATAATGAATGTGGCGGTGAGGCTCATCTTCCTGTCTGCCCGCACCTCCCACGTCTCACCCTTCTGTCAGTCCCTGCATTGGCTTCTCATAAGATATAGGGCTGAATATAAAATTATGGTTCTTTAAATCTCTACATAAGGCTACTCCCACCTATTTATCCTCCCTAATACACAAATATGTCCCGTCTAGGCCCCTATGCTGTGCCGAAGACCTGCGTCTATCCTCTGTTCGTACTCCCACCTCTGATGCTCGCCTTCAAGACTTCTCAGCAGCTGCACTGTTCCTGTGGAACTCCCTTCTCTTTTCCATTAGATGCTCACCCAGTCTCCACTCCTTCAAAAAATCATTAAAAACTTACTTTTTTACAAAAGCGTATCAATTAAACTGTTAATGGCTCCAAAACCCCACACTAAGTCTTCATTGAATACTATTCTACCAATCTACTTCCCTAATACTTTTGTGTCACTTTTCCCCACTCCCTCTAGCATTTAAGGGCCCCCAACCCCTCTGTTTCTGTGCGTCAAACTTGTCTGGTTACAATTACATGTTTGCTAGTCTACCCATTGTAAAACGCTACGGAATTTGTTGGCGTTATATAAATATAATAATAATAAAGTTTCCAAGAAAATCTCAACGTCTGTCAAAAAGGCAGAAAAATTGCTTATTCCCACTACATGTGGTACAAACTGGCAACGATAAGGATCACATTATGCCATATGAAATAGTCTGAGGTGTCTTTAACCCCTTAAGGACACGTAACATGTCATGATTCCCTTTTATTCCAGAAGTTTGGTCCTTAACGGGTTAAATAATGGTAGGACTTTGCATGGTAGTTTAAACTAGCAACCTGCTAGAAGGCTCCAAAATGCAACATAGCTTCATTAAAGAGGCAATGTCATGCCTAACTTCCCTTTCCACATTCGCTTCCTCTTCTCTTCCTCTCTCAGGATCTGTTCTTCTTTTCCTAACTGATCTAGTTTTCTTTAAAACACAAGACAAAGTAGGGACTATTTGGCTTATGTATATTTCCTATGCTTGACCAGCTTTGATCCAGAGGAGGACATCAATTTCCAGTGGTCAAAGTAATTTTCCCACAATATTCACCTCTCCTTCTGTTGCTTAAAGGGATACTGTAGGCACTGTATCTGCTTCATCTCATTAAACTGGTTATAGTGTCTGGAGTCCCCTGGTACCATCATTTCTTTCAGCATTAAACAGTTTTTAATGTTTAAATGCTAAACAAGAGTCCCGACAGTCCATCCCCTCTGTGCTGCCTTTGCTAATAAGGAAGTATTAGCCTGAGCAGCAATGGGCAGCTGTGATTGGCTGAGAGTGTCAGCTGACTGCTGTTAGCCTGTCAGAGCTCCAACTGATGGTATGAATGGGTATGAAAACAAGGAAGTGTGTAATCTCTGCCTTAGCTACACATACAGAAGGGGCTGGACTGTGGGTGGCCAGGGACTCTTATTTTGTGGCATACTGCACAAACATGGTGCAACACTGAATGGAGGGACAGTGTCAGGGCACTCCAGGCACTATAACCAATTCAAAGAGATGAAATGGTTATAGTGACTACAGTGTCTCTTTAATTCGCTGTACGAATGCCGGCGCAACTACCGAATTTCGTCCTAACAGAATGGGAACAGTTTGTCCATTGGTGTTAGGAAGAAATTCGGTACTTTTTGTGATATAGATAGACAGACTGATATAGAGATAGATGCAGGTATGCATGGATGGATAGAAAGAGATATAGGTAGGGAGAGAGATATAGATATAACACAAAGCTCTATAGGTATTGAGTTTGTCGCTTTATATTCATTTATAATACATATGACACTATATGATATCTACTGTGGTGAGGAAATGTGTGTGTGTGTGATGTAAGTTCTAGTGTCTGAATGCTGTATTTGTAGTGTAACTTAGGTTGAGTACTTCTTGGAGGGCATGTCATTACCGATTCTCATAGAGAATCACTGCAGCGTGGCCATTGGTGGATAGACATTGTGGGCGTGTAGTTACTGATTCTCATTAGGGATGTGCTTTGGCAAAAATTTTTATTTATTTTGGAAATTCGTGTAAGAAATAAAATTTGGCAATTCAGTTTGGTTCGGCACTTCTGAAATGTGGGACTTCAGAATTTAGAACATCTGTAGGGCTCCTTAACCCTACCTCTAAACCAACCTTACCTTGTCATCATTCACGTAATTTGCCGCCCTCTCCTGTTTTGCCACTTTTCAGAAATCCGAAGCACTTCGGCACTTCCGAAATTCGGCACTTTGGCAATTTGGTTTGGTTCAGCACTGCAGAAATTTGGCGCTTCAGATATTTGGAAAAATTTGAATATCCAAATTGCCCGAAATTCGCCCAAATTCACATTCGGAACTAAACGAATTGCACATGTCTAATTCTCATAGAGAATCACTGGAGCATGGCCATTGTTGGAGATTCCAGCTGAAAAACAGGAAGCAGGGAAAAAGCAAAGGGGAATATGACATGCAATCAGAGGAGGAACAGAAAATCTGATCAAAGTGAAGATTATAAAAGGTACTTCTAAAACACTATTTAGATTAAAAAGCATTTAGTGACAGTAGGCTTACTGTTGGGTGGGAAACAAGCATATGCATTTTTATTACCTATACGGTTCCTTTATATTCTAATTTTTGTTTCTATTTTTTTTTAAATATATATGATAATACATTTTCAGATTAGTTTAACAGTTATATCAAAACTAATTGCGTTATATATCTTTAGCAATACATAGATACATATGAAATAATGGCAAGTTGAACTATCTCCAGTTTAACTGGTTTATCACTCAAGTTTGGGGGAAAAACTTAAATTAAAGGTGTTCATTTTGTATACATAGATTAGTAGAATAACAATGGGCTCAAAAGTTTTTTTCCAAACGTGTTTTATGTAACAATTTGCTGTGAAAAGGTGCATTTTATCTCTGCAGGCACAATTTCAAAAACTTAGATTAATAGAATTCATTTACAACAAAAAAGGAAATATTCCTTGAATATCCCGCCTCATGCTACCCAATTAATCCATATTTCATGCTGATCAGCCTTTGGGTTATAAAGTTTTTTAAAAATCGATTTTTTTTATTTATTTTTTATCAATGTTGATTGTTCATTATCATGAAGTGCTGCAAATCATTCAGAAGGACATGAGAATTATGTGTAGATGTTACATGGGAATCTTTTCACAATTCCTTTTGCCAACATTGAATAACTTTTCATGAATGTCACATTATTTTTATATCCTCTTTAATTTTTTATTTTGGACACAATGACAAAGATAATATACACTTGAACTTAATTTGTAATTATGGCACGGGAGGGTTATGAATACATGCTACCAATATGTGAATATAATATATAATTATTTACACTGAACATTTGTACAGATAAAATTGCAAATAATGACTCTTTTCATAGAAAAAAAAGCAAAAACCCAAATGGCAGGCTGAGGTAGCCAACATGATCGCTAACAATTCAGTGCCTGCGATATAGCACAAAAGTAGGAGATTTGGGTCACAACATCTCTGATGATCCTCTCTGAGGCAGATATGAAGTGAACCAATTCAATTTTGTAGGCTGTCAAAGAATTATTGAAGAATAACTCAAGAGCAACAAATTTTGAGCAGGTGTGTTCTGTATCTCCGTATACTAATTTTGGGAAAATTCTCAAGTTTAAGACATGTTGTCAGATCGACAAATTCAATGTTTAGCAGTATTTTACCTCTGGATGGTGTTTACAATGTGAATACAGTGCATAGTAGCATTACCTTTAACAGAGTAACCAGGCACCATAACAACTAAATCAGAATATAGTTGATCGAATGCTTTAAACCCAAGGACTTATGTCCAGTGTTATTCAGCTAAGCCCCCTCCACTTCCTTTAGAGTCCAAAGCTTGCAACAGGAAACCTTCGACTTGGTGACATTGATAGGCTGAGAGTGGTCAGCTGATGCTCTCAGTCTATTAGTAAAACCCAATTCACAATATGGCTTGAAAAAAATATACATATACAAATAAGTTTTGTAAATGAGGATCTACACTGTCAGCAGCTTTAAGTGGGACATCATCAGTAACCCTAGTTTTTTTAAGCATCCTCACTAGGCTTGCTTTTAATGTTAGTCCCTTGAATATCTTGACAATGTGACTCTAAAAATGGTCTGTCGTAAAAACAATTATGCAGCCCATAACTTTAATTTGTAGATTTCATATACAGGGGTTAGGTAAGGAGTGAGGAACGGATCTACATATCAGCGCCATGCAGAAACAGCTACCAAAATAATGGTATTTTATACAGTTCTCATTAGATATATCTGGTCAATAGCCCCTAAAAGTATTATAGTAAATCTGGTTAGCAGGTTTTTTACCTTGCAAATATTTGTACATCCTTGGTTGTATCCTTTTTATAGGTAACAACATGAAAAGAAAATATAATCTTGATCTTAAAGTCTCATTTTGTCATATTTGGAATGTACATTACAAGCCTTGGCATACTGAGTATCATTTATTATTTTCCTGGTTTGTGGTTCATAGACATATTAGCAGAAACAGACAAAAAACAGTTCTGTATTCAGAGAACATCATTAAAATATGTATTGTGACACTTATAACAGAAGGAAAGGGGGAGGGCTTTGATTCATTGGATACAAAACTTTGGAAATGTCACCTTAGTGTAAAATATCTGTACTATTTTATTGAATCTGTTTAAATGCTAATGTGGAAAATAATGGTTTTCCACCAGTAAAAAAACAAACAAAAAAAAACCACTCAACTTTGCTCCAAAATAACATGTCTAAGCAGTTTAAAGGGATACTATAGTCACCAGGACCACTGCAGCTTAATGTAGCCTGTCCCTGCAAACTTTTCAATGTAAACAATGCCTTTTCAGAGAAAAGTCAGTGTTTACATTGCTGCCTAGTAACACCTCTAGTGGCTGTCACTCAGATGGCCACTAGAGGTGCTTCCTAGGTCAGTGCTGAACATTCAAAGATGTATTGATTCAAAGCATCTCCACGAGGGGATGCTGATTGGCGCAGTGTGGCGTTTTGCTGCTCATGCCCAATAATAGCCCCACAATACTTTCCCATTGGAAAGCATTGGATTGGCTGAGATCCTCAAAATTGATCTCAATCGTGGAGACAGGGTCAGCCACAGCGATTTAGAAAGGGTGAGTAGAATTACCTTTTCAAAGTGAACCATGTGGAGCTGTGGACCTAAACAGCCACACATGCACTTTAGTGTCAGGAATACATGTTTGTATTCCTGACACTATAGTTTTCCTTTAAAGCTTTTTGGATTTATGTGAGCCAGAAGTTTGTTACAGCCTTTTACATTTTCAAAACACTAAATTAAATGCAGGTTTAAGGCAGATATATCACCTTGCTATTGGCACAATAACCAAAATAAAACCTAGCAAAAACAGTCTCACAGAATCTTCTGTAGACACTTCCATAGATATTCTCTCATGTGCCTAGGCATCTGAGACACATCTCGCAAGATGTTGCCTGTTTTTATCAGCTGCTGTTAGTGATAGCTGATGGGAAGTGGCATGATGTGGCGAAGGAGTCTCTTCCCATTTGCCAAAGATTACTTCTTACATTAGACAAAGTAGTCCTTTATGGCAAGCTACTTTGATGATACAGTGGACAATTGATTATTTTGTTTGGAATCTCTGCAGTTTCACTTCTGATTGGGAGAAATTAAAAGAACACCTAGCTGTGCAACTACGTATAGGTGTCCCCTCATACAACTGTAACTACAAGTTCCAAATAATCCTATTTCATCCATAATTATGTTATAGGCTTAGCCTGCCTTAAATGTGTCCTTATCGCATTTATCTGTAAGAAATTAGAAATAGGTAGATCCCAGCTGTAAAAGTCTAGAATAATTTCTGCCTTTCCTATAACGACATTTGTTGATATTTAAAGCCAGCACCAAAATCAGTACCTGAATAAATCAGACCAGTAGAGACCCAAATTAAATATTTAACAGACATGCCTTCTGGTTTCAATTAAATGTACTCATGCTTCAGTAAAGGAAATAAGTGCATGCATGTTTACCATTTGACTAAGCTCCTGCATAAATGTTGCAGTCTTTCTGTTCAAACATTTCACTGTTTACCTACTTGGGATGAACTAAGCTATAGAGCATACATAGGCAACCTTCGGCACTGCAGATGTTTTGTACTACACCACTCATGATGCTTTGCCAGCATTATGGGGGATGCAGTCCACGACATCTGGAGTGCCGAAGGTTGCCTACCCCTGCAGTATAGAGGGTTGTGTGAGTGTACATAGAAGCAACTATTTACAGAGAATATCATATGGTATAAAACAAAAATAGATAAATTCCTATGTACACATACCATATAGAGGCTAATATTAATCCTCTGAATAACAAAATAGGGACATTATTAATCAACCAGCACTGCTGTGTATAAAAAAAAACCTTAATCTAAAAAAAAAAATACAAAACTTAAAAAGGCGATTATGTACAATACCTAGAGGCAAAACCTAAACTGGCAATTATACAAACAGAACAATATTCATACAAAACACTTAATTGAAATAATTCTATATAACTACCCATTTCTGTCATCTAAGGCACAGAGTGGTAAACAATAGATCTTCAGGCTTTGACTGGCAAAGAATCACTTGTAGATTTACCCCTACACAAGCTACGTATTACTAGGTATCAGTCTGACATATGAAGCACATTGTGAGCTTTTAAATAATCTTTTCATTCAACAAACTGTAATTAAAGGCTCATGCTCGTACTTTTGGGCCTGCTGAGACCACTTTGCCTTAAACTAATTTAAAATGAGCAATCAGCTCTCTTAATATTGCCAAATTCAAATCATCTTTTGTTGGGTCATTAAGCTCCTTATGGAATTTGATTATGCTTCCTAGCAGCATTGAAAGTGATGGTGGAGAGGGAAGGTGACAGAAAGCTTTTGATGGGCATTGTCCTTTCAAGTGGGTAGAGGGAACGTTTATGGTCTTCTCAGAGTCCTCACAATTGTGATACTGTCCATTTAAATGTGTTTTAATTATTGTTTCACTGCAAAGATCCTGAAAGCTTTTCCCTCCTTGCGGTTCTTGAAGCTGAAATGCAATATGAGATAAGTGTTAACATATATTTGCTCATGATATGTATGTTATTGAGCAATACTTAGAATCTGCCGTTTTATAGCTCAGTGTTTTGTAAATCAGCATAAAATGTTTTAAATAGTAGGTTATCAATCAAACACAAATATATTTGCCAAAATCTTAAAGGGCACTCCAGGCACGGGTCAGTGTTCCTTTAAATACATTTTAATATTAAAGGGAATTGCTTTGTTTGAGTAGCAGTCAGTTCTGATTTCCTTACCCCAGTATACACTATTGCAACATTTTTTAGAGGGGGTTTGCAGCAGAGCTAAGTATAAAACACAATACTGGCACTGACTTCTTGCCAAGATGTAAAGTGGCTCTGTCGCCCTATACTGTACTTATATTTCTTCTTCACTCCTAATCTTTTCTTCTTTTTTGATCTTTCACCCCTAAAATGCATAATGCAAAGAAGTGAGCTACATTTTGTCATGTCCCTCAGCCGTCACTAGCAACGTCTGGGGGAATATGCCAGTGTCTTGCTAATCATTGGACAATATCTATGGAGGCTCCTGAGGTCTCACAGAATCTTCTATAGACTTAAGTGTTGTTGCACATGTTTTCTGACATGTCATGTAAACTCCTTATAGTGGTGTGTGTCCGTACATTTCCTTCGGTCAGTAGGGCGCCTCCTGTACAAACATAAGACGGTGACACTTCTGGCAGTATTTCATCGATACATTGTTTACCTGTATTTGTGTCAAAGTAAGGAAGATATGAGATGTGTGTGTGTTATTGCATACCTAGAGAACACTTTTCTAACAGATTTTGTTACTCCGCTTTAACTCTAACTTAAAATAACGTCATTGCTTTAGGTGTAGCTGTCAAATAAACTGAGAAAGCCTATACAAAGAGGTGTACATACACACCACACAAGTACTTGTATAGATTCAGGGAAATATAGCCCCGCCCCATGTCGCCTACATCTGGGAATATTGCCCTAGAGCTGCAGCAATTTGTCCCGGTTTAATTACTGCAATAACACGCAACAAAAGAGGAACCCCCTTTTAAGCTAACCTATGTTAAAACCATAGGTTGTTATCGTACTTGGAATGGTTGTACCTTTCTGAAATGATTCCATTTTTGTTGGAGCTAAAATAATGGTTTTTCTTATCGACTGGCAAAACGTCTACATAACCTCCTTCTTCATCCTTGATCACCCCGGCATGCACAGCAGTTTTACAGATACTTGAACTCTGCAAAATTAAAAGATATTTCACTTAATTTCCTTCATATTGCTTGCTCAACACACGCCATTGTAATCTTCTGATATATGTGAATAATGTCAATCCCTGCTAACCTGAAAGCTGTTATCACAACACGTGAATAAATTAAAGATTTCATCATTTTTATTTGTTATTTATCAGCTTTGTATAACTAACTGTGTAAACAAGGCAAATGCCTGCAGGCCTAAAGTTTTAATTCAGTTTTATTAATAATTTTATGAATGTATGGCAACAGGAAGAACATTACCAAAACAATTACACACATCAAAAATAACATACAACACTTTTAAAATACAGATTATTTTACCAGGCACAGTAAAAACTATCCAACATTTTTCGTGGCATTAGTCATGTTTTTGGTTTTAGCTTGAACACTATAAAACTGAATTAAGATTATAAAACTGTTGACGCAGGCCTTCAGAAAGGTCATTGTAGGTCAGACACCGCTCGGGGCATCCATACAGCAGATAATGTATCCTGTTAAATTCCTGAAAATCAACCGATGGAACAAACCTGCAAGCTAGCTGCTAACAATAAGAGATTTTATTATTTGATAAGTGGTTACATATTGTATTAACTTTTAAAATCAGTACCATATTTTCTATAAATTAAGTAAGCAAAGGACCTGGAGTACATTAGTAAATAGTTATTTCTGCTAATGCAATAACCCTTTCAGAGTGGAGGTAAAATATTGCAAACTTTAGTGTGATGTAGATTGGTCTTACAGTTGTGTTGCCATTTATTTCCCTCAATTTCACATATCTGCTGGCAATGAGTATACTGGCAATTGGCAACATGATTTGTGTCCATACATGGGCAGAAACACAGGAGAACACTGTATTAGGAAAATAAGGTGGAAGGACTCGGCATTGAAACCAGTTAACTAGTAAATCTAAATTCAGCTTCTGAACTCTGTGTGCTAGGAATAGATTCTCAATGTTTCATCTGCCTGGTTCACAGGGAAAGCTTTTTCCACATAGGTGACCCAGTAATACGTAGCGTGGACTTGATTTTCATGCAGTTTTCCCAGGCCATAGCACCAACACATAAACTATTCACATCCAAATTATTGAAGTGACTTGTCATGTAAAATTGTCTTTACGTAAATCATTTTAAAACCATATTCCTAACAGACTAGCAATATATCCATCTAACCATGCTACAATAAATCGAGCCATTTGAATACACTACAGTTTTTTGTTTTTTCATTAATTTTTTTAGTTTGCGGTCTTGAATTTACCACAATTTTTCAAGTACAACTGTCAGATCAAAACTATTTTTAATATAATAATCTTTTCATCTAATTTTGAAACTAGAACTTTTTATTAAGTTTTGTAAAAATAAAAGCGAAAAACATATCCCTACCTTTTAGTATGTGAAAATATCATTTGGCCATTTCCATGCACCTTGGGTCAGACAATGTTTGAAAACAGACGGTCTATGAGGTTTTTCCTGCTTCAATCTCTGCACAGAAGCTGGAAAGACTATAGAGATGAATTATCAGTTTTCAAAAACTATCCGACAAGGTGCATGTATATGGCTGAATATTCTGACAGCCTATACTAAATGTAGCAATAGGTTTTTGTCTTTTTTTTTCAAAACTTGTTGAAAGGGTTACTCGAAAATAGTTTGAAGGTGACCGTTGTCTTATAAGCTCTCAAAAATTGTTACTAATACAAAAAAAGGCTGCTGAAGTCTTGTGACTCCAGAGCCAATCAGAACAAAGGTTCTATTATTGTTCTTTTGACATATTCCATAGTGTGTATGAAAGATGTTGTGGGATACGTACTTCACAAAAGCTGCAGAGCCCAAAGATTTAGATATCACTAATGTAGTGTACGGACAGACAAAGATTTAACCTTGCACTCTGTATGCTTAGAATTGTAAACTTTTTTTTTTTTTTTTTAGGAATGTTTAATTGTAACGAGACATTTAATAGTTGCTTCATAATGCTACTGACCAATAAATAACATATCATAACATCATATCATATGATCATTACAGTGTATTAAAGAAATGTGGACAACATGTTTCTTTATAAACGTTTGAAACATGGAAGAGAGGGTCAGAGGGGCCCTTTGAAAAATACAACATAAAATATTATAGACTGTTCAAAGCCTGGTTGTCAGGAATGTTCGGGGATCCTACACGCAGAGTGCAAATACTAGTAATGTATACCGGACTAACACTACACACACAAAGCATAGCGAGGTCAGGGGTACCAGAAATAGGATCAACAATAATGCAATAGCCAAGGTCAAAGGAACACAGAAGGAGGAATAGTCAAAAGAAGCCAAAGTCAGAATACAAGAATACCAATACGGAATTGCGCGCTCTTGGGTCAAACGAACCACAACAGGGCGATGAGTCTCCCCCTGGTTTCTCTTTAAATACCATGTTCACTTAGGTAGGTAACCACTCCCCCAAAATGTTGTTTGTTCTAACACATTGGCGGGCCATGATGTTCTTAGCGTCATGACGTCAAGGCTCATTTGCCGCGTCATAAATGGAGACGGGTTTATTGCGGTTGGCGTGAGAATCGCTAGGGACAAGCTGAACGTTAGTAGGAGTGTCCCCAGTACCCTGCAATGAGATGGCAGCCTGTGACATGCTCCTGACTGATACATAAGGTAACCTGACACTGGTAAAGAAAAAACCTACAACAAAGCAAGAGAAGGAAGTACATTATATCCAACTTTCCCTTCACATTGTTAATCTCACATGAGTTTGTGTCTTTCTGGAAGATCTTATGATTAGAAGAAACCATAAATAGGGCCCCATTCCCTTCAGTGACAAACTGGTATAACAGTAGGGAGTCTACTTAAAATTAGGCTCCTGATCCCCAGAAAGAGTAACTATAGTGCCTAATAAAAGGGAGTAGTAGGGGAGCTGTGGTCTTGTGTTGCAGCTCTCCTTACCGTATTACTTCTAAACCTCCAGTGTTTTACAGACAACCAAGTGCTCACTATATTACACAGGAGCATGTGAAAATGAGAAAACCTGGCGGAGAGAGTAGTTTTTGCCCGGTCTTTAAATATGACAGGTACACTTTAACCCCTTAAGGACACACGACATGTGTGACATGTCATGATTCCCTTTTATTCCAGAAGTTTGGTCCTTAAGGGGTTAAATGCTTTAGAGTGCATTAATGTTGTCCAAGTACCTGAAATGTTCCTTAACCCCTTAAGGACACATGACATGTGTGACATGTCATGATTCCCTTTTATTCCAGAAGTTTGGTCTTTAAGGGGTTGAAGGTTATATCTAGGGTGTATTTAAAAGCACCCGATTCTCAGCTCTATTAATGAAGGGCACAAATTCAAGGATGGTGCCACTCAATTTATGACTCTTAGCTGGTGAGTTAGTTTCGAACTCTACTGAAAATTAGACATTTTTTACGAGATCTCGGGGGGAGAACATGTCATTGCCTCATATAGAACATATTACTGACATTTAGTTGTTAGTATAAATTTAACCTCGGTTGTATGATTTAAAGATATACCACATGCCCTGTGGGAATATATACCATCATCACAGTCTAGCTCCTGAAGACCCTGTGCCAGCGTGAAATGTCCTGTTTATTGAGCATCTTTAGCTCTATAAGGACATGCTGTTATAAAGTGGAACATTGCATTTTATCACAAATGTCTTTAAGGTTTAGATTATTGTGATATAATTATGTAATCCTTAACTCTGGATGTTTGTGTGAGATTAGCTTGTGTAAACTATGACAGAATGAGATACATTATGTCTGCCTCTATATAGGTTGCTGAATCTGCTTTCAGTAAACTGGCAGCAACGACCGTAAGTTAATTATAACAGGGATGCAGCAAATCATAGCACATTCTAGAGACACATCAATTTCAGTCATACAGAAAGCTAGATTCCAAACCCTGTGACTGTCAAGCTTGGTACTGTATCTAGATCTAATCCTGATTTCAGTGCTTTTTGATGGTGATTTTCCTTTAAATGAAGCTCTTAGTGAGCGCTCTGGAGTTGAAATTTACATATGGGAAGTAATTCTAAAGATTGACATGTTGGACATATACTCTGCGTTGCTGCTGCCCTAGCAACAAGTTGGAATACATTGTAAATTCCTCTTTATTTTCCATCTATAACAATTTTGTGCTCAAACAAGTGAGCCAAAAACAGCTCAGCACCAAGAAGGAAAGTCGTCTCTGCTGCTTTTGCTGGACTGGAGCATTCAGATCTGCAAAACATCTTGTTATATTGATACTGAAAAGACAGAGCACCATGCGTTACTTTCTAGAACATCCTGCAAGAGGACAGGACATTAAAAAATGCTCTCATTGGGGTCCTATTTAATTTGTGAAACCATACAGGTTTTTTGAGAACGTTTATGGGGAAATTATATTTATTATTCAGAGTACTTTACAGACCAAAGACTTACACAACCAAAAACAGTGCTTTACTAAATGCTGTTTTTGGTAAGAGTAACCCTTTCTATCCTGGTTTCCACACACAATATAATAAATAAAACTGCTGAAATTTGTATGTGCCTGAAATTTGTATGTGTCTATATACTCTCTGAAACTCTGGACATGCAGAGATTAATCCCTCTGCTGCACACATGGCAGCGTCAAAGGATGTCATTAGCCAGTCGTGTACAAGAGTTCTGGGCTTGCAAATGTCAATTTTGTGCAACTTTTGTTGCACCGAATGGCAGTCATTGGCTGAGAGAGTTCAGCTGACGCTCTAGGCCAATGAATTTCATCTCTGCAGAAGCCAGAAGCTTTCCACTGGATCACCAGAGAGCATCTGATCGGGGACCGAGGTACGGGGGGGGCAAAACATTGCTACATTTGCCCCATTATCAGGGAACTGGGCCAGGGAACTCCTGGCACCATAACCACTAAAATGGGCTGTAGTGGGTTTGATGCATGAAGTAACCCTTTCAAACAACACTTTCCCCCACTATCTACATGTAAGCTTTTTTTCCAGATACCTCTAGATCTGGCAACATTTTGGCACTCCCATTTGTCTTTGCCAAGGATTGACAAGCATACTTTAAAGGGACAATATAAACATCCAGATCACTCCTTCTCATATGAAATGCAGACATTTCCATGTTTCCATTGCAGGGTTAAATATTTCTGAGGGGCATTGGATTGGAAATCGGTGGGGGAGGCCATGCCTCCTCTGTGACATTGCTGGAGGCATAGAAGTGAGCAGGACAGAGGATGCCTCAGGGCTGGACAAAGTTAAGTAAATCTTTTATTTTTTTCCTTTTTGATAATGCCCCTGGTGGGACGGGACATACAAAAAGGAAAGGTGACCCTATGGCATTAGGAATAAAGCTTACCTTTAAGTGTCAAAACATTATCAGGCTCATTTTGGAATGGTTGATTAGACCATGTATACATTATTAGTTGTGTTGCCAACAATAAATCACTCTTTCCAGATTTATGTATGTAGAAAGTACACTCTTTTGTATTCTGGCCACACTGTGAAACATGTTTCTATAATAAGAACCAAAACGGTACTTAGGTAACATTGAGAGGCAATTTGTTTTCCTCCTCAATTATTCACATGTAAACTAACACAGCATATCGATTATAAGTTCTGCTGTTCCTCTTCCACCTACTAACTTGACCGCCTCAGACTTTGCAACTCACTTCACTGACAAGATCTCTACAATCAGAGAAGAGATATCTCATCTTTCTTCTTCCCCTAACTTTACTTCCTCTGCTGTTCTATGTTCATTCGCACCCGCTACATTGGAAGAAGTTTCTGCTCTGCTCCAATCCTCCCGCCCCACCACCTGCTCCCTAGATCCAATTCGATCGCATCTCATCCGTACTCTGTCTTCTTCTCTTTCTCCACTTCTCACTAAAATTCTCAATCTCTCTCTCTCCTCTGGTATATTTCCATTGTCCTTCAAACATGCAACTGTAACCCAAATTCTAAAGAAGCCCAATCTTGACCCTAACTCCCCATCCAACTATCGTTCTATCTCGCTACTGCCTTTTGCATCCAAGATCCTTGAAAAAATTGTGTATGCAAGATTGACAGACTTCCTCGAGTCCAACTCTCTGCTAGACCCGCTTCAGTCTGGTTTCCGCGCTAAGCACTCTGTGGAAACGGCACTGACCAAAGTATCCAATGATCTACTCGCTGCAAAATCTCGTGGTCACTACTCTATCCTAATTCTCCTTGACCTGTCTGCGGCTTTGACACTGTTGATCATCAACAGCTTCTTCTCATCCTCCGCAATATCGGTCTACAAGAAACTGCTCTCTCTTGGTGCTCTTCCTACCTCTCCCAGCGCTCTTTCAGTGTTTCTTTCTCTGGCTCTGCTTCTTCTCCCCAACTCCTCTCTGTTGGTGTCCCCCAAGGTTCAGTCCTTGGTCCCTACTGTTCTCCATCTATACTGCCTCCCTTGGTAAACTCATTAGCTCCTTTGGCTTCCAAAATCATTTCTATGCAGATGACACCCAAATCTACCTGTCCTCTCCTGATCTCTCCCCGTCCCTCTTGACTAGTGTCTGACTGCCTCTCTGCTGTTTCTAACTGGATGGCTGCCCACTTCCTTAAACTAAACTTGACCAAAACTGAAATTCTGGTCTTTCCTCCCTCAAGTGTTGTTACTCCTGTGTCTGTCTCCCTCCAAGTCAACGGTGCTACCATCAGCTCCACCACGCAGGCTCGCTGCCTAGGTGTTCTCTTTGACTCCGACCTCTCCTTCAAGCCTCATGTTCAATCTATTGCCAAATCCTGTCATTTCCATCTAAAAAACATTGCGCGCATCTGCCCCTACTTAACGCCAGATGCGACTAAGGTGTTGGTCCATTCCACTGTCCTTTCTCGCCTTGACTACTGTAATCCGCTTCTCAGTGGTCTTACGTGCTCCCAACTAGCGCCGTTACAGTCCATAATGAATGCGGCGGCAAGGCTCATCTTCCTGTCCGCATGCACCTCCCATGCCTCACCCTTTTGTCAGTCCCTACATTGGCTTCCTATAAAATATAGAGCTCAATTAAAAATTCTGGTTCTTGCTTTCAAATCTCTACATAATGCTGCTCCCACCTATCTATCCTCCCTTATACACAAGTATGTCCCGTCTAGGCCCTTACGATCTGCTGAAGACTTACGTCTATCTTCTGTCCGTACTCCCACCTCTGATGCTCGCCTTCAAGATTTCTCGAGGGCTGCACCGTTCCTGTGGAACTCGCTTCCCTCCTCCGTTAGATGCTCACCCAGTCTCCACTCCTTCAAAAAATCGTTAAAAACCCACTTCTTCATAAAAGCGTATCCATTAAACTGTTAATAGCTCCTGACTGATTCCTCTTCTGCAACTGTCATTAGTCTAATACTATCATTACCTTTTTGTGTCATTTTACCCCACTCCCTCTAGCCTGTAAGCTCATTGAGCAGGGCCCTCAACCCCTCTGTTCCTGTGTGTCCAACTTGTCTGGTTACAACTACATGTCTGTTCGTCCACCCATTGTAAAGCGCTGCAGAATTTGACGGCTCTCTATAAATATCATAATAATAATAATAAGTTCTTTAGCCGTGAGATGCTGATGTATTTAATCAACAACTACTGCTTGAAGCAACCCTTTAGAGAACTACTAAACAAGTGCTTCCGTACAAGAAATGCAAGTTACAAATTTCTAAATTTACCATGAAATATAAAGGCAGTAAAATTAAATTGCTTACATCTGCATAAATGTTGGTGCCAATTACTGTTGCCCAGTATGAAGGCTCATTCTTACAGTGCGCGGGACAGTAAAATCTGGAGGGAAAAAGCATGGTATGAACAAGTTATTTCCAATCTAAAGCACTTGCCAATAAAGGAAGAACGTTAAAAAATATTTATATATATATTCTTCAATTTATGAGTTTTCACCTGGATTTCTCCCTTACGTAAGGAAATAATTGATGCCAAATACCTAAATCTGCTTCCATGGCTTGTAATGTGAGAGAGAGAATCAATTCAATCCTACTGGATTTGCTATCCACAGTGGTGTTAAAATGGGCCAAAGTTTAATATATTTTTATTTGATGACATATTCATATTAAAGACACTGCCTTTCTGGAAGCTGGGTTAAAATGCATGTCACCCTTTTCCTGATGCTTGCTAGGAATTCTGGATGTTCTTACCTGGGGCAATGTGCAGCTGGCTTTTTAAATGGACAAGTGTCTGCTACTGTTGAGTAACAATCAAGAGTTTGAACTGTAGAGAGAAATTATAAAAAATATTAAATCTAAATATTTTCTCCCTACTGAGATATATAAATAGCATACAGTTTACTAAGGACTTTTTAATCCAATATATATCACATTTTATTTTGAGTTTGGTCTTTCATACTTACCGGAAACTTTTGAAACTGTGAATGTATTAGCTGGCTTAAATTTACTGCAAAAATAAAAAATACTGTGTCAAACACTATTGTAACATTAATTAGAAGATATGTATATCATTAAGGAAAGACAAATATATTACCTTAAAGATTCAACACCATTCCTGGTGGACTTAACAAAGAATGGTAACCTCCCATTCCTTGTTATATCAACTAATCCACCGTTGTTATCGATAACTCCAAAGTGAATAGCTGCTCTGCATAAGCTGGACATCTGTAGAAAATAAGGTATTAGAGTTTATTGCAGTTCAAAAACAAACATCTATAGAAGACAGGAAGATATGACATGCTATTTATGATTTGAATAATTTTGGTTTCTGTTTATGCAGCCCTAGCCACACCTACTCTGAGTGTGACTGACACAGACTGCATAGAAAAAATGGTTTTATTTTTAATCAGCTGTAGCTTTCTTTAAAAGTTTTTATGCTATGTAAATTGAACTTGAATTACATTCCGGTGGCTCTTGCGGGGTCTAGAAAGCTATTAACAGTGTTGAAGACAATAAATTCTAAATTAAACAGACTGTGCACTAAAGGAAGTTTGAACATTAGATCTCTTCTTACGGGACAGGTTTACAAAGTCAGTAATTATAGTGTCGCTTTAAGAATTTAAAGTAGACATTTTTTGGGGTTTGGTTGTTTTTCTTTTTGCTAGAACAGCAGAGACTGTTCTTCGTCTTTTTTTGACTATGGTACAATGCTTTTACACTTTAGAAAAAACATTTTTATTTTATATTTATTAAAGCTGGCTTTACACATACCCCCCAAAAGCTATGTTCTGTGAAATGGGGTTAAAGGGTATGTGTCAGTGAATTGAATCTTGTCACTGGTGTCACCCAAAGGGGCTGGACTGGCTCAGAAAGGGGGCAAATGCCAGGCTGCATGCTACTGGAGCAGACCGGCCCACTAAGGGTAGACCATAGAGAGAGAAAAAAAAAATGTGCACTCTTTGCAGGGTTCCAGTTATTAGTTATTATTATTTATATAGCATCAACATATTTCACAGTGCTTTACAATTATAAAATGGAGCTATTTCACAAGTAATTTACATACATAATATTACCGAGACAAGAGATGAAGGCCCTGCTCAAAATAGCTTACAATCTATAGTATAGCCTATGCATTGAGTGGCTTACACTAGGCTTTCTGCGGACAGTTCCTTGGTCTCCCTGAAGGTGGTGGGACGGTGAGATAGGACCATAAGCAAAGGTCCAATCAAAATCAGGACAGTTGGGGGGCCTGTGAACATCATGGGAAAGTGGAGTTCCTAAACATTATCAATGCCTCATTAGCCATAAATGAACTGGCACCATAACTCTGTGTAAACGAGCAATGCCATGATGCATGATGTCAAGAAATTATTTTCTACTTACACTGTCATAAAAAAGGGTTCCAAAGACTTTAGCCTTCTTATTTGCACAGCCTGCAGGACACAGATATCTGAAAATAAAATGCAGTTCTAGTTTCATTTTCGAAAATATAGAATTTCATCAAATAAGAACAAGGGTCTAAAAAAGAAGACAAACTGGAAATGAGTTGCAGGGATCATATTCAGCTTTCCAGGCGTGTTGTATGGCCATAGGGTTTTTGGTGTTTGTGGATCTGTCCATCCAAGATATCTGTAGTTATTCTGATTTATCAGTGTGAATAAAAAGAGGTTCAGCGGGTCTCTTTCTCATAAAATTAACAAGAGCGTCCCACTTTATTCACATTTGTGTGTCCAATAATTAACCAGATGTGAATCCTAGCTGTGACACCAATCAAAATAATGGATTTAATTTAAATGGGTCAATTGGCTGGATCCTACCTACTGTTTCTCCTTGCAGCTGCCATTGCTTTTTCTCTCTAGAATGAGAGCTAATAACAGACCCCTTAACTTTTACATAAATAGAAAATGTCTTGTGATACTTCATGTAGAGATATATATACACAGGTAACTAAGTAGCATTACTGAACTTGTAACTATGGCTTCACACTGTACTGGACAGGTAAAAGTATTGTAAAGAAATAACTAGATAGGTTGCCAGGCACTGTATAAAAGGTTAGACTGAGACATTTTAGTTTAGTTTGTTTTACAATCTCGGCACCAAAAACTAGTGTGTGTAGAAAGGGATTTGTATGGACAATATATACATTATACATGGAGGGCATCTTGAAGCTGTTCCATATGTTGCCCGTGACTCACTGTGAAGATGCGATGACTAAGCCTCCTTAATTCTGGCATTACTGTGCTATGGTAAATCTCCATGGTGATCTCAACAGTAAATTTTCTAAAGCATCTATTAATCTTCTATGTGTTTAATAAAAAATGAGTGAGGTGAAAGCTACATGTTGCTTCCCAGGAATAATAAATGTTCTTGCCTTTCTTCAATCAGAATATAAGATTCCAATTCTTTTTGGAAAATCAGCTTGCACCAGTAAAAGTAATTTGTTGAATCTATGCATGTGTGCCAAGTCTTTAAATTGAATTAAACATTACTAATTATACATCTCTCTCTCTTTCTCTCTCTCTCTCTCGAGCTAGATAAATATATATGTTATTCTTGAAACATTTGGGCATTGCTAGATCTGGAAAAGACCCATAATATTTGCCAACTAATAAAAAAAATGTTACTAGTCAAGCAGGAAAACATTGCTAATTAAAGCAATATGACGTGATACTCTAGGCATCATGAAGAAACACCTGTCTTGCTGTCAATTAGAAAGTCAGGGAGATTGGTTTCCTCTTCCGTTAGCTCTACAGAGCTAACAAAAGGGGCAGGAGAGCCATGATCATGTGTGCATGTCTCCAGTGAGAAGCCTCTGATTGGAGTATTCCCTGGCACAAACGGAATGTCTGGGCTGGGAAACAAGGGGAAGGCATACTGTTTTTATAAGCTGGTTTTGTTTTTTGTTTTGTTTTGTGTTGTTTTTCACATAATACCAAAGAAAACATGCAAAAACAAAGCATGAATGATTTCTTTGGAGGTATATCTACAAATTTAGTAAAAAAAAATAATAATGACAGCTACACAAACACACACAGGCAAATAGTCACTCACGCACACACACACACACAGGCAGACAGTCATGCACACACACACACACAAACACAGGCAGACAGTCACACACACAGAGGCAGACAGTCATACACACACAGACACACAGTCATACACACAGACACACACACAGGCAGACATTCATACACACAGTCACACACAGGCAGACAGTCATACACACACACATGCAGACAGTCATACACACAGACACACACAGAAGCAGACCGTCATACACACACAGGCAAACAGTCACAGACATACACACAGGCAGACAGTCATACACACACACACAGGCAGACAGTCATACACACACACACACACACACAGGCAGACAGTCATACACACACTGACAATCACACATAGTTACCTTTGTTCATTGTGGAGGCAGTGCAGCTCCTGGAGACTGTTTGTTGGGGAAGCAGGGACTACTTCCTGCTTCCCCTGCAGCAGTCATCCGGCACTTTTAGCCCTGCCTTGCCATCAGTTTCGCTCCATCCCTGCCGCAATTTTTATTTTTATTTTTTATCCTGGCTGGTCATGTGCAAGCTGTGTCGGTCACATGGCGCCCCCTGCTCCACGGTGCCCTGTGCGGCCGCACAGCTCACACACCCCTAAAGCCGGCCATGCCTGCAAGTCACTTTGTTCATGGCAGAGAATTGAGCATTGAGATTGCAGGGGTATGATTTATAAACCGAAGTGGCTTTTTAAAGCTAAAGTTATTTTGATGCTTAGAGTGTACCTATAACCCCTTCCTGACCACGGTCGTATCAGATCCTTACGACAAAAAAAACGTTCCTTAAGGACCGCGGACAAACCTGATGCGTCCGCTGGCAAATAGAGCGCTTCCAGCAGCTCTAATGGTATTGCAGCGATGCCTCGATGTTGAGGCATCTCTGCAATACCCTCCTCACTGTCGGGCCTCCGGAGAACACGAGGGGTCGAGGCACTCGGTAAATATAAAAAAATTATTAAATAAATTTTAAAAATGTAATTTTAACCCCTACCCTCCCTCCCTCTCCATGTACTTAGCGATCGCCACCATTCCCCTGCCAGCGATCGGTCTTCTTCTTAGGGGGACTGTCTGGGCTCAGCTCAATTTAGGACGCCCAGGGGCCATGTGACCGCTCTAAAAGAGCGGTCACATGGCCGCAATAGATGTCCACAGTGGGATCTGAACGTCAGCCCCCCTGCTTGTAAAAAAAGATTTTAAAAAGTTTTATTAAAAAAAATAAATAAATAAAGTTAACAAATTTAAAATATATATATATATAATATATAATATGTATATATATATATATCTCTCTTATATATAACCTCATACGAAGTGTATTTTTTTATTAATATATACATATATTAATATAAAAATACACTTAGAGTAAATTTACACACACACATATATATATAACTATATATATTGTGTGTATATATATATATATTATAAAAAATAAATAATTAAAAATAAATCTAAAATGTAAAATGAATTTTAAAAAATAACAAATATATATGTATTTTTTTTTCTAAGTGTATTTTGATATTAATATATATATATCTATTTTGAAACACAAGTATTTGTGTTCAGCGAAGTCTTCCGAGTATAACAGTACCCCCATGTACAAGTTTTATAGTGTTTTTGAAAGCTACTGGGTCAAATAGAAGGCCGTTTTTTCACATATAAATTTTCCAGATTGGTTATGTTGCCTTTAAGAGTGTATGGTACCCCAGGAATGAGAATTAGCACCATGATGGCATACCATTTGCAAAAGAAGACAACCCAAGGTATTGCAAATGGGGTATGTCCAGTCTTTTTTAGTAGCCACTTAGTCACAAACACTGGCCAAAGTTAACGTTCATAATAGTTTTTTGCATTTTTAACACATAAACAAATTTAAATGCTAACTTTGGCCAGTGTTTGTGACTAAGTGGCTACTAAAAAAGACTGGACATACCCCATATTGAATAACCTGGGTTGTCTACTTTTCAAAAATATATGGATTGATGGAAGTAAATTACATTGGCCGGCTTTAAAAATGTCCCAAATAGGACATGAGTGCATGATGACCAGCTGTGAAAATTCCAGGTTGGAAAACTGGAATGCACACCCTCCAAATAAGGTCTTTTAGCCCCCATAGAACCGGACACACCTATACATGGGTGGTATCACTGTACTCAGGAGATGTTGCTGAACACATATTGGTGTTTTTTTGGCAGTAACCCTTAAAGTTCTCAGTACATTTATTTTTAAATTGCTATGTGTGTCAAAAAATCACCAATTATTTTATTTTTTAAAAATTTGGCATAGATTGGTGGTAAAATGGTTGCATGAAAAGAGTCAAAATACCCCAAGTTTAATACCTTGCGTTGTGTTCTTTTAAAAAATATATACATGTAAAGAGTTATTCAGGGATTCCTGACAGATATCAGTGTTACAATGTAACTTTAATTAATTATGAAAAAAAAAATGGTTTAGAAATAGCAAAGTGCTACTTAGAAACATAGAATGTGACGGCAGATAAGAACCATTCGGTCCATCTAGTCTGCCCATTTTTCTAAATACTTTCATTAGTCCCTGGCCTTATCTTATAGTTAGGATAGCCTTATGCCTATCCCACGCATGCTTAAACTCCTTTACTGTGTTAACCTCTACCACTTCAGCTGGAAGGCTATTCCATGCATCCACTACCCTCTCAGTAAAGTAATACTTCCTGATATTATTTTTAAACCTTTGTCCCTCTAATTTAAGACTATGTCCTCTTGTTGTGGTAGTTTTTCTTCTTTTAAATATAGTCTCCTCCTTTACTGTGTTGATTCCCTTTATGTATTTAAATGTTTCTATCATATCCCCCCTGTCTCGTCTTTCCTCCAAGCTATACATGTTAAGATCATTTAACCTTTCCTGGTAAGTTTTATCCCGCAATCCATGAATCAGTTTAGTAGTCCTTCTCTGAACTCTCTCTAAGGTATCAATATCCTTCTGAAGATTCGGTCTCCAGTACTGTGTACAATACTCCTAGTGAGGTCTCACCAGTGATCTGTACAATGGCATGAGCACTTCCCTCTTTCTACTGCTAATACCTCTCCCTATACAACCAAGCATTCTGCTAGCATTTCCTGCTGCTCTATTACATTGTCTGCCTACCTTTAAGTCATCAGAAATAATCACCCCTAAATCCCTTTCCTCATATGTTGAGGTTAGGACTCTATCAAATATTCTGTACTCTGCCCTTGGGTTTTTACGTCCAAGATGCATTATCTTGCACTTATCCACATTAAATGTCAGTTGCCACAATTCTGACCATTTTTCTAGTTTACCTAAATCATTTGCCATTTGGCTTATCCCTCCTGGAACATCAACCCTGTTACACATCTTAGTATCATCAGCAAAAAGACATACCTTACCATCAAGACCTTCTGCAATATCACTAATAAAAATATTAAAGAGAATGGGTCCAAGTACAGATCCGTACTTGACATTATAGCCCTATAACTTTCCAAAAAAAGCTAAGAACATGTTAACATTGGGTATTTCTAAACTCAGGACAAAATTTAAAAACTATTTAGCACGGGTGTTTTTTGGCGGTTGTAGATTTGTAAAAGATTTTGGGGGTCAAAGTTAGAAAGAGTGTTTTATCACATTTTATAAAAAATTTTAAGGTAAATTATATATTTGTGAAAATAATGGTATCTTAAGAAAGACCATTTAATGGCGAGAAAGACGGTATTTATTATGTGTGGGTACAGTAAATGAGTAAGAGGGAAATTACAGCTAAACACAAACACCGTAGAAATGTAAAAACAGCCCTGGTCCTTAACGGAAAGAAAATTGAAAAACGGTCTGATCACTAAGGGGTTAAGTATATCATGTGCAAAATTTTCTTTCTAGCTTGTTTACTTTTCACAAGTGAATGGTAATTTTGTTAGTATTGTTATGATATATATGAGATATATAATCACCATATAGCACTGTAAATATAGTTATTAACAATCTTTTCACACTTCATTGGTGGGAAAGACAATAAATATTGTAGCTACTGGAAAAGTCCTGTCATCCTCAGATTGTTTAGATGTTTCTGCCATACTTTACGTACATTAGATGGCAGGTTTTTATTGGAGCAATACATAATGACATCTTAATTTAGAGAAGACCTCTGTTTGGCCAAGTCTATAAACAGCCTAGGTCCATTAACATTCTGCTGCCAATTACAGTGTCAATATGTGTCTTAGGAAAAACAAACCCCTGGGAGTGATATATAAACATATTTACTGGGTATACATTAAGGAATACCTGTTGCAGGTGGATCCTTTGCATTTGTCTCTCATTTTTGTTTCACACTTAATCACTTGAGCTGGGAAAGGAAATGAGACGTTAGAGAAATGCTAAATATTGACATTAGCAGCCTGTGCGCTGCCTCGCGGTATAGCAATTTACTGTATAAAAACATCTCCCTAGTCATGAGCGTTAGGTCTGTACGTTCTAAAGGCTGCAAGTGTGCTAAATAATTTAGATTTTCCCACTAATAAATAGACAAGTATTTAAATATATCTTATATTCTCAGAAGAGCATAGATACACTTCCATTTTATCAAGCATGAACTTATGATCAGTTTGTGTGATATTTAATGAAGTATCTGTTTCTACAGGTCAGTGTTCTAAATTACTTGCCAGCAATGTCTGCTTTTCCTGTCGCTGCTGACTAACCTCTCATGATGTTCTGCCAGCTGGCAAAGCATCATCTGAGATGTCTGCCACAGCCTGTGGAATGGTAGTGGTTACGCATAGTTATTGTAAACCAAAGCAATAAACAATCAATGGTAGGCTAGGCCCCAGGCAACTGCACACAATAAACTGGTTACCATAGCAGCAATGCTTTAAAAGGATAATGGAGACTCTTCTAACACAGAAATATACTAAGATTTTTTTCATGTTTTATATTAAATTACATTTTTAACAAGCTGATGCAGGTACATCATTTGTGTCCCATGTGGGCAGAAAGGGGTAAATCTCCTCCAAGACACCATCTATATAAAGCCATACAATGTTAGGCATATACAGCAACACAATGATGCCATGCTGGGAATTCCAAGAGCGCCCCACGCGCAGCCTTTGTGCAGAAGAATTAATCAATTTTCACAAGATTCCCGTGCCTTTAGTGCTCCCCCAAAAACATCAGTGAGCCCCTCTCCAAATATAGCGCTTATGGTTGTGACCATAAAGCTCTATTTTGGTCTAGTCACAAATTACAGTGTACCAGAAGCTGTGAGGTGCGTCAAAGTGTTAGCGGGCATATTGTAACCGGGCTTTTTTGTGATACTAGCACAGTAAAGGCTTCTTCTTGTTCTAGAATCATTGTATTGGGTTCCTTGAAACAACCACACCGTCTTTTTCCAGAGCAGAATGTATTTCTCCTGAGGTTACCTGTGGGTTTTTCTTTGTATCACGAACAATTCTTCTGGCAGTTGTGGCTAAAATCTTTCTTGGTCTACCTGACATTGGCTTGGTATCAAGAAATCCCTGAATTTTCCACTGCTTAATAAGTGATTGAACAATACTAACAGACATTTTCAAAGCTTTGGATACCTATTTATATCCTTTTCCATCTTTATAAAGTTCCATTACCCTGTTACGCAGGTCTTTTGACAGTTCTTTTCTGCTCCCTATGGCTCAGTATCTAGCCTACTCAGTGCAACCACCTGAGAGCTAACAAACTCATTGACTATACACAGACACTAATTGCAATTTAAAAAGCCACAGGTGTGGGAAATTAACCTTTAATTTCCATTTTAACTTGTGTGTCTGTAACAAGGCCAAATATTCAAGGGTATGTAAACCTTTGGGCCATTTGCGTGATTTCTGTTATCAGTATGATTTAAAAAGGAGCCAAAGAACTATGTAATAATTGACTTTATATGATCACTATCCTTCAATAAAATAAATTTTTGCACGATCAGTCATATTTTCAAAATCAATGCCAAAATTTCCCAATTTTTGCCAGGTTATACAAACTTTTTAGCTAAACTGTATTTGTTGCCATGAGCCATCAATACGCTGATGGTTTCTCTTGTGATTGCTCATGTAAAAATTTTCTTCAGTTTTGCCTTTAACATATAATATCTCTCTGTTCCAAATATGAACACAAACATATATAATGTTTTGGAATTCAGTTATTAGAACAATAATTATTTTGGGCTTACTTACTCATTAAGCTTTCTGTGGATGGTTGTGTAGTTTTTGGCACAACTTTCGGTTTGTTGATTTTCTCATGGACCCAAACATGCGTTTCCTCTGGCACCCGAGGAGATTCCACTTCATTTGCTTCATCTGTTTCCAACGTTCCACTGCGTTTGTCTCCTGGGATATACAAAGACAAGAGATTTATATTAAGATTTATTTGACACTATTACTAAGTTTGAAAACTAGACTTCTCAAAAATGAATGGTTAAATGTTTTTAGCTATCTGAAATCATCTGTCCTTAACTCAAAACAGTAACGATAACCTACACATTATTACCAGTTTGGCTTAGAGCATTTTGTGAATTTGCTGAATAAAGTTGGAAGCCTCCACATTGAGATAGTTAAAGCACTGTACATGTTGTATTTGTTTTAGACAGATCATTTCTTTGGCAAATCTCCTATGAACGGTCTAATTTGGATCCATAATACCATGATGTACATTAGAGAGGTTCTAATTAAGACTGGATATTCCATGAATATATAGCCATGATAAACTAATCCTTTTAACCAAATGAAATCCAGACTATGTTTCTTTTAAAAGAAATAAACAGCAGTTGTGAATTTAAACGTAAACTTTTCATATAGTTATTGAATATCAAGAAAAATAGTATATTTTTTTAGAAGGTGTTGGTTGTTGAATTCTAAAAAAACTAAACTGATATTGTCTTATCTTTGACTCTCTGATGTGCCTAGGTTCTTAAGCAAAAGACTGCCTGATTATATGAGGACTTTCCAAATCCGTTATATAGTACATTGATAGGTTTTCGTACCAATAGGTCATATGAAACCAAACTTGTTGAGTTCATTATGGATGTATTTTTCAGTTAAAAAGTTAGTTGCACAAAGAAATATAGATTTTTATATATTTTTTTTGGTAAAAATATGTTAAAAAGAGTGACATGTCCATACATCACACATATCAGTGGTTGCATAGTTTATACAGTATTGCATAACTATTTTAAAACTTTTAAGCATCAAAGAAAGTGAAAAACCATAAGTGTAGAAATTAGAAAAACAGAAGGAAGAGAAAGGTTAGGATCCCTAACCGAAACATCACATTTCATAATTTCCTGCATGAAAGCTTGATCTTCCACTGGTTTAGTCTCTTCATATGGTCTGGTATTGAAATAAATGGTTGTTTGTTTTTTTAAAGGGACACTGTAGGCACCCAGACCACTTCAGCTCATTGAAGTGGTCTGGGTGCAGTGTCCCTTTTGCACATAGTGCTGCAATGTTAAATATTGCAGTTCCAAAGAAACTAATGTTTACATTGCAGCTCTAAGTCTGCCCACAGTGGCTGTATACCAGACAGCCACAAGAAGGCTTACTGGTTTGAAATGGACCTTTGGTCCTTACACTCTGCAAGAGGACACCCAGCTTCAGATTTTGTCCCATAGTAAAGTATTTATTCAATGCTTTCCTAAGGGGAGTTCTAATGCGCACGGCTATTTCTTGCATGCGCATTAGCACCCGCTCATTGTGGGCTGTCGGAGGGGGATGAGCGTCGGCCCAGCGCTGAGGGACATTGGGCGGGTTGACACGGTGGAGGAAGAGGGAGCTAGTGTAGCAGAAAAACAGCTTTTTATTCCTGGCGCTTATAGTATCCCTTTAACAATTGCCACATTATGAGGAATCTTTGCGATATGTTAAAAAAAAAAAAAAGTATTTATTTTGAAGAAATATACAGTTGAGTTACAAAGTAGCCTAACATCCTATTCCTCTTTCAGAATGCTGGTTGTTAATTAGTCCAATGACTGAAATCCTTGCATACTTTGATATATTGTGTGGTTGTTAACTTAAACGGAAATGCATGAGAAACCAGAAAGTGCTTTATAACACGTAATCACCAAATGATGAAGGTTTAAGTCTGATTGTGCACTAGTCATTCCAATTTTTATCAATCACATATTTAAATATTTGGTTGCTGGGCAGCTTTTTCTTTCTTTTTTTTTTTTTTTAGATAATGCCAAGAATTCTCTAGAAGTTTTTAGCTTTCCTCCCCTTCCCCTCTCCCCCTCCCCCCCTTTGTTGGCCATGTCTTGAGAGCAATGGTTCAGGACTCCTAACTAATGGCTTTTACAGCTGATTAAACAATTTACCCTAGCTTTTCATCACACCCATTCAAAGAAATGGGTATTAAAGTTGGATGGTTTTCAAAAATATACTGTGGCAACTGTTCCAGACTTTGTGGAAGGGGAATTGCTCTGGCTTATTCACACCTTCCCACTTCCAGAGGGAGTAAAGGAGAGATGTGTTTGAAAAGAGACTGTTTCCCTGACATCACTGGCACATCATAATTTCGACCGGCAACTATATACCTTTGGCTAGTCACATTAATGTACTGAGCTATTGGCTCACTGGATTGTAAGGTATAAGACGTTGTATCCAATGTCATTGATTGTGATGTATTTTGTAATTCCACCAAGTTAACCGTTCAAGAAATTTTTAATATTAAACTATTAAACTATAAAGTTTCAAAGTAAATAGATCTAAAATATGAATTTAAATTAAGTAAGCCTTAATAAACAATATTATTTATTATGTCAATCTGACACTATCTGGGGAAGCGTTTGAGTCACACGGAAAGTCAATTTATTTACATCTGTAGATGCTTCCACCAGAAATATGAAGGGAACTTCTACCTGTTTAATGATAACTTTATTTAAAAATACTTTCTATTGATTACTCTATATTTTGTGTTCTACCCCAGAATTGTTCCAGGTTTACATTGATTAAGCCACTACTTAATGGTTCAATATAAAAAATGTTATCTACTTCTCGGTGGACAACCCTCGCTATAGAATAAAATTTCTATAGCATAGGCGGCTAAAAGGTAGACCCTCGGGGACAGGACCTCACTGTCATGGTGGCTGGACGTATTTTCTAAGTCCATATTATGAGCGGCACACTGAAAATGACGGATGCCGTGTGTCCCCTTGAAACCCGGGAGCAATATCTAAGTTGGACAGCCTCTTGGTGGCTGACTGGCTGTATTCTCCAAGTATGGAATATTGGAACCGGGCAAACCTCTAAATTTCAGGACTGGATCCTGCCTGTGATGGGGGTTGGCTGATCTCTGTCTGGGGCCTGGAAGAGTTTCTCTATGGGCATAGTACCATTCTCATTAGGGTTTCTTTTGTTCCTCCAGCTGCTTATGCGTTTCTGTGGGACCTAGGGGTCTTATAATCGAAGTTGCATGCTGTACTTTTATTCTGTTTATTAGCCCTACTGTTTACTTATTTCATTTACTTCCAAAAAAAGAAAGGGAAAAAATGTGCAGTATTTCTACCATACTATCTATGTCTCTGTCCATTCTATCTATGCCTCTGTCCATTATAATTTTGATCTGTATTCTAATCTCTGTGCTGCAAAAATAAAGAATTTATTTTAAATAAAATTTAAACTAGTCTCTGCCATGTGCTGCTCCACCCATGATTAGATCACATTGACAGGATGATCTCAGTCTGAGCCACTGTTTCTCACAGAGAAGCCTAAGGGAGTTTTTGCCACTCTCTCTGCCTTTCTCTTAAACAAGTACTGAATCCACTGTTTCTCTTTTAAAAGCATTCACATCACTTGATGGCATAAGGACGCTTTACTTAAAGAGCTTTGATTTTAGAAGGTCTTCCCGGCGAAGTTCCTGTAGTGGCTGTTAGTATAACAGCTAAAGGCATGTTTATGGCCAAATGTTGAAGTTTTACATTACATTTACATTTTTGGGATTTTCTCCCTCTTCTCACTATTTCTAATTTTCTTTCATGGTATGTATTATTAGTTGGGCAGTTTTTTCAGGTATCTATATGATATGTATCTGGAATAGAACTATTCTTTTTTAGCTGTTTACCATGCATAATTGTGACTGTGATACATTGTGTATATTTGTTGTATGAGTATTGTGATATGAATGCTAAGGCCTTTGTTGTGGGATGCATCTTGGGATACCTGCTATTTTGGACCCAATTAATAAAGTGCTTTTCATTTATATGGTTGTGCTCCTCGTTCATTATTGTTTGTAGATTATTTAGGGCCTTGGGGGAAGAAGGCTTTTTGAATGTGCACCCTATTTTTCGTTTCTTTGTGTTTGCTCTTATACTTTTATGGCATTTGACTAAGTGTGCCTACCTTTTCTATATTAAATAGAAATTCTACATTACTGCCAGACTGCAGGGACTTTGCACTAAAACACCTTCATAAAGATGGCATGGTTTTGATGATTAAAGAGTTCACCAGAAGCAAAAAATGTATTATTATTCCTTGCCATTACCCATACCTTTGTAACAGAGATTGTTCTTGCAGTTTCCGCCATAGCTTGGTGGACATTCTGAGCAAGGTCTCCCATTCTTGTAAGGAGCTTCTCCAATCCAGTTACCCCTTTAGCAAAAGAAGAAGAAAGTCTGTCTTATATGTCTGTCATAAATGCTCTCTGTGTTACCACTGCCTCAGACTTACAAACTGAAAGCCCTGTAGTTATGAATGCCTCCAGTGTGTGTCTGATGACAGCTCTCAGCACGGATGGGAAAAACCTGTGATTTGCCTTTATGAATGAATAGTAGGACGCTTTGAAGCATAAAGAAAACTGAAAAGATGAAAAGCCAAAAAGATTAGCATTTTCTTTTCACTAGAAACCATTTAACTTTAGTTAAAGAATATGATTTATCATTTATGAAAGACATTTCATTATCTCTGAATGTGTTATTAAGGTTCCAGTAAATGTGCTTTTTTTTGTTGTAATTATCGAACACATCATTTACCTACACATATTAAATTGCTATGTAATGTTTGTTTTTCCAGGGGTCTGAAGGGTTAATACAGGAAGTTTCCACATCTCTGGCTACTGGGGTCATCAATGGCTGATGTGGTAAGTCTCTGTAAAGTCTGCGGAAGGGGGGGATTCACTGACGCCAAGGTAGGAACATTCCACGTACACTGCATAAGCACTTATAAGGAGTATACCTTACTGGGCCCTTACTTTGGAGAATAATTGCAGACCAGGTAAACTGCGTTCTCCCATATCTCGCCCCATACGTTCATCCGTTTGCACACATTCACTGCGCAGCCTACTTTGGTCGTAGTGGCCCAAACAATCTGCAAATGAAAATATATTTGTTTTAAGGAAATAAATATCTCAGGAGAGGACAGCCTTTCATTAATTATAAGTGAGTGTTCTAAACCACAGGAACCGTTCAGGATGAGATGGATGGATAGATAGACGGGTATACGTAAAGACTGACCAATAAGTAGATATTAATCTTGATCAGTGATATATGCTGGCTTGAAACCTTCTTAGTATGGAAATTCACTGTTGCACTCAGAATATGTGGAGCAAGAGGCTGTTAGACATGTCTGGAAGTAGATGATACAAAATATAACATACCTGGGTATAGTGAGTACACATGGGTCCAGAGCACCTCTCTGGGCAATAGGGTTTACACTCATGTGGGTAAGGATATGTATAGTCTTTAACTTCATCATACCATGATTGGACATGAAATGCTGGAGACCTATATCTGAGATCAGAAAGAAAGGGCAATATTAGAACGTGGGGTTCTGAACTCCACTATCAAAGGAAGATTTTCTGTTGTGTAGAGATAGGCAACCGTTGGTTCTCAAGTTGTGGTGTATATTTTAGATTAGTTTAAACACCACATTTCACATGACTCATTATTCTTTGGTTGGCTGTATAAACTATATTGCCATGTTGCTTTAATCGGTCACTGATAATGCAGTAGAATCCAATTAATTACCTTCCCCAGTGTACAGCAAGGTTTTGCCCAATTGACATGAGCAGACTGGCTGGGCCATGCTCCCAGATGCACTCTTGCGCCCAGGCCTCAGAAGATTTCTCCAGCTCGTCATCCCATGTCTGCAAAGAGAAAAGAGCAACAATGTCAATACTATGTGTTACAATGATTATTTCTTTATATAGCACATTTACAGTGCACCATTATATATCATACCATAAGCTGTATGTATGTATGTATAAGATCCAATAAAACAATGTACAGAAATGTTTCATCCATGTCTGCTCCTTTACCCCCACATGACTTGACTTCCAGAGATAGTCACATGCTCACAGCACGTGCAATCGCATGTCTTATAAGTTTCTGATCAGTCGAACCAAGCCCTGCCTGCACCTATGCCCAGTAATCAGACACCTTTGCGGTGACTTAAGAACTAATAAGCATTTTAAAATCACAAAGCAGATGGTTTTAATAGCTTTAGAGGTGCAGGGAGATGACCCAGAAAGTCTTTTCTCTGCAGGGTAAGCATGATGTCTGGCCGGAGAATGTTTTGTATTAATCCACGTTAAAGCTGAAACTTCAATACAAGTCACCCGCAGCGACACAGTATTTTTGAGTTTAATTTATCTTAACACAGACCACTGTTATAGCCCGCCCTGCTGGGTACTCATCTGACTTCCATTAAGAGGGTGAGTGAGGCCATGTGGATAATTTAACTTTCACTGCAGCAAGGATTTATACATTCAGCCATGGCCAACCTACACAGCCAAACATGTAAACAGGCCTCTACAAAGGAATGAACTCTGTGGACTATGCCCATAGGGAGAAGGGGGTTAACACCATTATCCAGGAACAATAACACTAGATACAAACACAACAGAAAAAAAGCGAACATACTAAACTGCGCTGAACTTGAACAACTTTCAGTTACAGAAATTTGCTTCTTATGGGAAAAAACAGCACATCAATAAGAAATGTAACAAATACACTTCAAGTACATCAACTCCCCACTTTGCTAATCTGTTTAAATTGTTTTTCTGTTTATGTGGCAGGTGTGCTATTTGCTGCAGACTTACAATGATTTGTTTTTCTAGCCAATAGAAATTTGAGTTACAGTGCAGGAATAGTGGCCCAACCCTCCTCCACTATAGCACATGTGTTTTATAAGAATGGCAACATGTTGACCAACAAGCTTGCTGCTGTACACTAAAATACACTTGTTATATCAGGAATACTGGACTATTTACTGTTTTCTTCAATGGATTTCTAGCACCCACCAACTAAGTTAATTTCTTTTCAAACATTTATTACATTTTGAAAAAACCTGGTAAATATAACCAGAGAAAAGGTGCATAAGGAAAATATATTTGATGACATTGTGTAGAAATCTGCGGGCAGGACATTTCTGCTCCAAGATAGGAAAGGATATTTGTTACTGTGTACCTGAGTATATTAAAAGCTTTAATTGTGCTCCTTCTAACACAGATCTTTGTTTATGCTGGCAACGAGTGCATTATACGCTGAGTTTTTTTTTTAAAATTTGAAGGCAAATCTGAACTCTGTGCTAGATGGGATTTGGGCATTGTACCACTTAGACGCCAGCTTGGGCTCTCCTAAAATGCTCTCTCTCTTAAAGTCACTTGAGGTCACTTAGGAGGACCGTGAAATCAGGTCCTGAGGCTGTACTTTTTGATGGCAAACATTCTGGGTCGGGCTGCCAGTGCTGTCCTCTGCCTGTACTTTTCCATCATCCCAGAATGAATGGCTTTCTTGCACTTATGCTACCTTTTGTGGCTGCAGATGTTACCTACAATAAACTAACTTTAACAGAGTTTGTTTAGATATATTTCCACTGTGTCTTTAACCATTGCGGTGCTGGGGAGGGGTCTGCTTCATTCTGTGGCTCCAAGTCATACAAAGTTGTTATTATTTAAATATAATAAACATTAACCAGTGAGTAACATACATAAGGTGAAGGACAGGATAAATTATGAATATATTTGTGAAACGTTTGAGAAAACCTTTAAATTTTACACTTATCCAGCAGACTTTGATATGGACACAAAGCAATCTCCTCTCAAATTAATGAATCTTCATAGTATACATTTGGTTTGTTTCACTTAATTGTGCCAGTCAGGGCAGGCATAGAGGGGCCAATTGGATCACAAAGAGAACGTTTGTCATGCTTTAGAACTATAGATATTTATTTATTTTATAGCAAACCGCAACATTCCTGAATTTTACTTCACCAATATCACAAGTATTAGACAAAAGAAATTGAATTTCTTTAATACTCTTTTAGCAATGTATATACAATAGGACAGTTGGAAAGAAAATTGGGGGTGGGGGTGCTATGTTTATATCACAGATCTTCTCTCTGTAATCTACATCTGTAACCACAAAAGTCAGCTAAAATATTGGGTAAGCAATGATTGATCTCCCATAAGACATCAGTCAAAGGCAAGAGTACAGTTCTTTTCTGCTGTACCAAGGGTGATTGGTGTTGGCATAGAGCATTTTAAACAAGCCCCATGTAAGTGTATACCACGACAGACTAGGCTTATAAATACCCTGCTCACATACGGATGTTATCCACTGGTCCAGGCATGCAGAGAATTGACAAGAAGAATGTCTAATCTTAGACCAAAATAGCTGAAGTGAAAGAAAATTAGAGCCCGATCAGGTAGGCAGAGAATAACATGAACCCTATATACACAAGACATAGAGCCAGGCTCTTCTGAGGTTATTTAGCATGCATATATTTAGAACTTACAACAGTTGGCAACAGTATTTACATATTAATAAATACGAGTGATTATGCTTGTGCCAAGTCACACCTTTTTAAGCAACTTCTTTTTTAACCTGAACAGAAAACAAAACCCTTTCATTTTGACAAAATCCCCTATAAAACCACGAGAAAAGCACATTCAGCAAGTCAAAATTAAACATTACCCATCAATCCTCCAAGTAAACACAAGTGAACACTGTGTAATTTCAGCAGTTTCATATCCCTGGCCAACCCAAATATTCTGTGCTTTCTTGTTCTGTCTGTGAGTTCTTCATCTGAATCTGGCCCCATCCTAAACACTATAGAAGCCAGGGAACGTTAAAGCATCTGTTACCAAAATAGCATTAGAGAGAAGAATTATTTAGAGCATACAGAAAGTTTTACATCAGTGGAGCTAGTAGGAAATTGGGTGCTGTTAACTTTTTAGTAATGGAGAAGGGTGCCATGCTAAAATCGTGAAGCCAAGCCTGGAAATTACACCATAGAATAAAACACTGTTAACACCAATAACTGATGTCAACCATTTTTATCATTGCTTGACAAAGACTCTTTCAGGAGTCGAAACGTTGTGGTGTCTCACTTGTCCTAATAAATACAATTGAAGATACTTGGAGTTCCTGGATCCTCTTTCTGCCACTGATAACCATTGTTATCATGTCATGCTTTGTTTTCTTTAAAATGTATATTGAAATCAAGTTATCACAGTCCAGTTGAGCCCAAGCACAGTCAGGGCACATAATGTAAAGGAGGATCTTGCATTTTTTCAGTTTTTCCACTGTGTTCAATTGCACAAAAGAGCAACATTTATAACAATGATTGACGGAGAACCAAGATGGTAGTACCCAGTTCTAGGATAGATTTGTGCATTTTGTACATTTAATTTTATTTTTCAGACCTCAGAATAACATATTTGCAAATTATAAGGAACAAGTCAATACAGTAATAAAAATAATGGAAGTGACCATTCTCCTTTCAATATATTTAGTGTTTACTCCAAAGAAGGTTTCCTTACACTCTCGCCAGCATTAGAGCATCTGTCCTTCTAATAAATCTCCTTACTGGCTCAGATTCAGCACCTTGCTCAGTCCAGTGCCCAGTTATATTGATTGTAAAGCTATGAACAAAGGAGGGGACAGGAACTATAATATATTTTTCTTTCGAATGTTTTCAAGCAGTAGAGATTTGAAAATGGAATACAATTAAGGCTTAATGCTACCTGGATTAGCCCTGTACCAAGTAGCACCCTGTCCGTTACAATGACATGGGAAAGAAGGCACCGGTGGTCCTTCAGTGGCCATTGACATGCATCTGGCTTCTGCAGAGCTTCTGAAGTCAGTGTTTGATCCCACCAGCCATTCATTAGCTGAGAGTGTCAACTGATCATTTTCAGCCAATAAGGGCAATTCTGTACATATGAATATATGCAGAATTAACATTAGCCTCCTGGAACTCTTGTTCCAGGCCAGCTAATGAAGTCGTCCAGCAGCATAGGGATTAAACTTAGTATCTGCAGCGTTTAATAGCTAGATTCTGGACATATGGACTTCAAGCACTATGATCACTTTACACCACTGAAGTGATTGTGGTGTTTGGAGTAAACCTTTAAGTGACATGTGGCTACAAAAGTTGTTTCTTATCTAAACAGTGAATTGACTACCACATTACATCATTTGTATATACCATATTGTAAATATGTTTTATTGCACTATATTTTTCCAATTTGTCTTTTTTGGCCAAAATATTTGTTGATTGCCAATGTCTACAATTTACTTTGTTGTGAGAAAATCTTTTAGAATCAAAAGTTTAAAATGTATTGCTCTCAACGTAATAATAAAATAGCATATACTCTTGAGGGGCAGAGCCTAGCAGCACAACGGAGCGGTCGCCGTTTTACAGGGCAGAAACCGGCTGATATCAGCCGAGCACGAGGCACCGTGGCCTACCACATGGGCGCCCGACCGCAAGACCTAGTCGGAGAGCTAGCAACGTGGCTTGAGACCGGCACACAGCTCTCTACCTCAGACATCTACACCCCTGAGGAGATGGGACGGAGGTCTTAAAAACCGACCTCACACGCTCCCCAGCCACAGTGGGACATAGGCTTATGCTCCCCACACAGCTTGGCTGCATCCACAACAGAAAGGGACCCCTCAGACCAATGGGATAGGTGCCCAGCATCCAAACAGGACATTCAAGACATGCTGGCTGGACTCAAACGCAATTGCCAGCAAATGTGGCAGGCAGACCTAAAGGGTCTCACAGCTGAGCCTTCCACACAAGCATACCACTTTTTATGTTCTCTTGTTTGTAATGTTTCTCATGTTTATTGTTTAAGTGTACCTACCAACCGACAAGACTCTCCGAGCCTACTCAGGTGAGACCTGAAAAGCAAACTCCGGTGACGTATTACGTACAATACTCTCCCTCCCACCCCCCCTTCCCGGAGCCCCTATAGGACTGAGGAAAAGTCAGCTTGGTTGTGAGCAGGCGACGCGCCAGGTATAACCCGGTATGCGAGCTTATAACACCACTAGGCACAGGCCACTACCCTCGCCCCCCAAACACCCTAGCATACCCACAGCAAATCACGACTACACTGGACTAACAAGCTACCATACCCAGGGTCCCACGACCTGACAAAGCTACGTATAGACGCGACCTCAAGCACTAAAAACGCCCAAGAGTACTCCCAACTACACCTATCGAAATAGACCGCCCTATCAAGCGAACCCTCACCTGACGGCAATACCCTAAGAATAATACAGTCATGCTACCACAAGCAACGCCACACAGTACCTAATCAATATTCTAAAGCTGGACAGAGCCTTAAAACTGCATAGCCCACTCAAAAAGTAAAACTGTCATAATTGCCATGTACGTGTACTACTCTGTTATCTACATAACCACTTGTTCCTATGATTATGGCATTCAGCGTGGGTTTTGATTACTCTTTATGCACAGAAAATGAAAATAAAGAATAAAAATAAATTATGGCATATAATGTTGATACACTTTGTATTGCCCCAGAGAGACTCATTGTGTCTGTTTAAAACATCCATGGTATACCCCATTTTTTACTCACAGTTTACCCTTCCTATATTCCTATATGGACTACTTATAAAAAGAAGAGGTGTATCACTACAGTAAGCAGTTTAACAAATTGGCTTCCTGACTGCCATTGGTAATTGGCTTGGACATACGGGCAGTGTCAATGAATATTAAAATTTGCTACATCTCCGTCAGACACTTATTTTTACTTATGCTTTGATGAAATAAGAAAATGATAAAGACTTCTGGTGGGACTCTAAAATGGCATGTTTTTTAAAGAGTTTATTAACAGGAAAGAAAGATCATTTAGACTACGTTGAAAGTGCTTTGACTTACTGTTACTTTTGGCTTAGTAATTTAAAGTTCTAAAATAAAATTCAGAGTCATGGGTTTCTCTAAGGTATGATCCCAGAGGATGTTGAAAATGTCACAGAGACATCAAGCCCTCACAATTACAGTCAGTGCTTTTGTTTGCAAACATGTAGTTCAAGACAAGTCATTATTTGTTTCCTTTTATTGATCTGTGTGTCTATCACTGACCTTATTGTTGATGAGGTTATGGGTCATAGGTTACCATAAACACAGATGCTAATAAAGTGACCTTAAACGGAAGTTTAGTTAATAACTTCCACTCAATCAGTGATTGGCAGCAAAGAAAAAAATAAGTCTATAACATGCAGCCTTTCTAAAGAAAAAGATCCCTGCCATCATGTTTTATGATCAAGGTTCTTCTTATTACCTCCCAGCCACCAAGATTTGACCATATGGTAACAGCAAAACTCAGTGGATCTGAAAAGGCATAACTGTTTATAGCGCAGCTCGCATGTAAAAGGACAGTTCTTTTGTGGTATCCTAATTAAAATATATAGCTTATTTTTGTATTGGATAAACATGGTTAGCAGGTAATTTCCAAAGCATATGTTCTGACCGTTTATGTAATGGTGACATTTCTGTGGACTCACCATGTACTCCATGTTGGATGCAGACGGGTGAACCTGCCCTCTGAGCTTGTTGTGAAGTTGCAGAATCTCCTCTCTGTCCGACCTAGCAATGGCTCGCCTGCTTCTGGAATGTGGTATCTCATCATTGTATCTGATCAGAAGATCCTCTAAGAAGGTGGAGTTGGGCAGAAACATGCAGTGGCAGTGAACGACCAGGACAAACAGAACACCAAGTGGAAAAAGCCAAGTTAGAGCCGAAGTCATGGTTTAAACACTTCTGATGTTTTAAGACTGATGAGATAAAATCAAGCTTTTCTTGATGATGATGATTATTCTGAATTAAAAAAAAAAAAAAAAAAAGGTCAGATTGAGGGCTTTTTTCAAAAGTCACATATTGTGAATAAGCCATAATCTTACAATCATTAAGGTGACTCACATAGGGTAAGAGACAAATGTTAGGATAATTATATGAAATATATAAATTTCTAAATGCAACATTAGAAACCTGGACGTGCCAAGAAGAATTACCATCCAAAGTCGTGATTTCTCAGAAACGTCTATTTCAGATATAGCTAAGGGATGGATAACGGTCACATGCTTTTGCACAGTGCTTAAAGGACTAATAAACCTATTCATTGCTACACTGGTTCTTTGACCTGTTGTATCTCAGTTTTATCGATATTAATACAATCTATGTGAATTTTACTTTTCAAAAAGCATATCTAGAGACTTGCTTAGTAAACAAATGTCCTCTGCTAAGCAAAACTACAAGATAACTTTCTTGCCGTTGTATAAACTTCAAGAGGTGCCAGCATCCTCAAGTAGTAGAGTTTATGTAACATTATCGCAGTTATATTAAAGAAAAATACTTTTTTGAAATGCTCCAAACCGCATGACGTAAAGGGATGTTCTAACCAAAAAATCCTTAATACACAAAAACAACTGTTAAACTGCAGCCAAATTCTTCTCTTATTACTCATCCCAGGGATAAGCAGAGATGTAGAAGGTAATAGTATCTCTGCATTTCCACTGTATACCTTGAGATATTATATAGTGGTACACAGAATGTGTTGGGGTTTTAGGAATGCTAAATGCGAGGATTTTAACCCAAATTTTGAATCACATTTTTTAGAATTAAGAGCAGTACAATACCTCAAGTAACTGGTCATTTTTAACAGAAGCCGCCGTTTCTCTACTAAGCACAGACGCTCTCGGCTTACATTTCAAACACGCATTTTTGCAGTTATGCATTTCTGCATAATATCAGTGCCATTTTATTGGCATTCCAAACACTATAATGCACTTTTGTACACATTTGAGGAAGTTTACGGTCCCCCGGTGTTGCTCCAAGCCAGTCAACAGCTTAAAGGGACACTATAGTCACCCAGACCACTTTAGCTCAATGAAGTGGTTAAAGCCAGGTCCCTCTGGTTTTAACCCTTCAGATGCAAACATAGCAGTTTCAAAGAAACTGCTATGTTTACATTTGGGGTTAATCCAGCCTCTAGTGGCTGTCTTCCGGACAGCCACTAGAGGCGCATCTGCGACGCTGGAGGCACATTTCGCCTCCATCGCGCAGAGCGTCCATAGGAAAGCATTAAGAAATGCTTTCCTATAGACACTTTGAATGCGCGCGGTGCACTTGGTGCACATTCGCCACCACTGACGTCGGGTGGGGGAGGAGAGGTCACCAGCGCCGAGGGAGCCCGGTGCTGGATTAAGGTAAGCTGCTGAAGGGGTTTTAACCCCTTCAGTGCCACGGGAGGGGGGCCCTTAGGGTGGGGGCACCCTCAGGGCACTATAGTGTCTGGAAAACTGCTTTGTTTTCCTGACACTACAGTGATCCTTTAATTAAACTCTCCCTCTTTAACCACATAGTACCACGGTTTCAAATTGGACCATTATCTGGAAATTTAACTAGACTATATGTAATTTGGATATCTACTCTTTGAGACAGATGTACTTATCTATGTTTGACAATTGAGAGACCTTAAGCTGTTGACCGCAACTCCATGTATTTTTATAACTATATGGATAAAATCATTTATGGGTTATACATGTTAGGCAATGATAATAAAGCCTGCTGGTTTACCAATTAAATCATTTTACACCTATCCTTTACTATTTAGCTTTAATTTCCTCGTAAAGCGTTAAATGTTGTACTCACCTTTATCAGCCTGTTAACTGATTAATACCCAGGAGGAATTTCTCTGAGGTGAATTTCCTTATTTCTTGATTCTAGTTTACAGTCTGCCTGTACAGTAGAAAACTGACAACTACAACTCAGTTGATGTGCAGTGATTTATGGAATAAGCTTAGCATTGTCATTAAATGTTAAGGAAAAGTCATGATTGACTGCAACAATTTATACCAAATGCAGCAAATTATAACATTTGCCTTTTTTTATTATTGTATTTCCATTCACTGTTTTTGCAAAGTTTATACCTATACTTTTTCCTCAACAGTATCTCACCACTGTTTTATGGGGGAGAAGATAAATGGATGAAGCAATTTTGCAAGACTATTTTTTTTTTCCGTTTTATACAAAAAAAAAAGTATTTATTTTCCACAAGATTCAATCAAATGCATTTTTTAGGACTTTGCACATTCCAAACAGAAACCAAACTCCTGGGCCACTAAATAATTTTGTCTCCTTCAAACTCCGTGGCAGTGCAATACTTTTTGCGTAACTCCCCAGTGCTAAGGGGAGTGGGGTTTAACAAATAAACAAGCTATGTTCCCTCTGTCAGTACTTGGAAAGAGTTCTGCAGCCAGCTGGTGCTTCATCCGTTTGCTGCCATTCTTGGTTATAAATATTTAAACTTAGTTTTTTTGTCGTTTTTTTTCCCCCCATAACACCAACACAGAAAACATTTTTTACAAATCATGCTAATGCTGAAGAATATCACTGTGAAATGGCCTGTAGCTATCTGTTCTGCAATGCACGGGAAGCAGATCTTTCCTATCAGATCCTACATTAGCATGGAATAGGCCAGGCCAAAGTCTTAAACCTATGTGTCAGTGACCAATAATAGCTAGTGTGACTATTCATTAAACTAACTTTCTTATTACTTGAACCCATTATGAATCTCACCCATAACCATAATAATTGATAGTGCCACTGCAGCTTGAAACCAACCCTCTCACTGGAATTATGCATTTTGTATAAGGGGTTATTCTAAAATGTTTTAAAAGTAAATAATCTTTGGGAACATTCCATTGGTTTCCATGGTGACACATTTTCCTGAATTTGTTCATAAAATGCAATAGACAACTTTTAGAAATACCTGTGAGGAGCCTATATTACTAGGAACTCCCAATCACATTTTGCACAAGAAACTAGAAACACAGGGATACTAAGACTTTGTTCCTTGAGAAAGAATGATCAGAAATGTTATTCAACAACAGGAGGAAGATTTAAGGGAGTTACAAGATAATTGTGCTGTATAATAAGATCTTTGATCTCCATAGTTTCAGCAGTTGTTAATGCCTAACACAAGGTTTTATTCACTAAACTCTGCATTGCAGTAAATTGAAATACAAATGGCAACATTTACACAAATATTGCTGATTTGGAAAATTTCTGTCTGACACGTATAGCACCAGTCACAGTCCCTTGAACCATATTTTTGTAGTTTGAATCATTGGTTGGGCAGAGTACACTACCAATCATAGTTCAGTCCACCATATATATCTTTCTGCAATCTGAAGTATGCATGAATCTGATTGGACAGAGTATACTACCAATCACAGACCACACTGCCATATAGTCACATACAGCCACATTGCCAGTCACATACAGCCACACTGCCATATACTTAGTCACATACAGCCACATTGCCAGTCACATACAGCCACATTGCCAGCCACATACAGCCACACTGCCAGTCACATACAGCCACATTGCCAGTCACATACAGCCACATTGCCAGTCACATACAGCCACACTGCCATATACTTAGTCACATACAACCACATTGCCAGTCACATACAGCCACACTGCCAGTCACATACAGCCACACTGCCATATACTTAGTCACATACAGCCACATTGCCAGTCACATACAGCCACATTGCCAGCCACATAGCCAGTCACATACAGCCACATTGCCAGTCACATACAGCCACACTGCCATATACTTAGTCACATACAGCCACACTGCCAGTCACATACAGCCACACTGCCATATACTTAGTCACATACAGCCGCACTGCCAGTCACATACAGCCACACTGCCAGTCACATACAGCCACATTGCCAGTCACATACAGCTATCCTCTCAGTATGAAAAGTGTAAGTATTTACCTACACTATAAGGCTATTCCACCACACCCCTCACGCTCCATGTTTTTCATTGGATAACACACATAAACACAGGTCTGTCTGTAAATATAGGAATTGTGAAAACTACGTTCATATTAACTATTCCTCCATATGTAAATGTTCATTCTGTGTGCCACCCTTGGTAAACATTGGATTGCCTTGTTGCTTCCTTCTTCAGTAATATCTAAATCCTGAATAAAGCGTTTTACATATCTCCAAACGGCATAACATCTTTCAAAGAGAAACGCATAGCTGTTTGTGGCAGTGAAACAGTTATTCATTGAGACAGATAAACCCCAAGAAGCCCTTGGTATTTGCACAAATATTTTAGTGTCAGATGGAAATACTATCTAAACTTAGGATATAATGTTAACCCCCTACAGGACCACAGTTAGGTAAACCCCTTGCGATCATGACAGTCCTGACCATTTTTATCCAACAGGAATTAAATCTAGTAATGCTGCATAACATGCCCCTTCCCCCAAGACCATGGGAACACCATTATCTAAGCATATGTTTTATGGAAAACTTCTGCTCATAATATGAATCATCTTAACTGTAATCCGTCCCAGCCTTGATAAATGCATATTTAATCTGGAAGGATATCACAACTGCTTACACAGCAGATCTTTGACCAAAACAGAGTTTAATTTCGTATATCACTTTTCAGGATTTATCTGCTAAACTGTGAATTGTAATGAAAAGTTTGGATAATGCCATGTTGGTAAATTTTTGCAACTTGACCATTTTGTTAAGTTTGACATTTGGTTGTCAATTCCCCCAAACCCTTATGATTCATGGATGTTGATGAAGAATGAACATGGTATTTAAAATGTACAATTATTGTACTTTATAAATATGTCGGTGTCTCCAACATAAAAAAAGTTTCAGAAAATGTATAAAATTCATGTTCTTCCACTTAACAGCAATATACAATCATTCTCAGTTTAAGGATACTTATGCCAGAACAGTTGATCACATTAGTCCAGAAGAGAAAGAGTTAAGTCACAGTGTGGAAAATATCTGCTACCACATAAAATAATATTTAAAACAAGAACCACTATCCCATTCCAAGTTTTATTTCTGTTAAAAATACATTTTAGAAATCTCCAAAAGGCACTGCAGACAGCAATAAGGGATTTGCAAAAAGAAAGGAGAAGAGAGAGAGAGAGCGATTGAGTTATGGATTTGCAGTGTAGCAGTATGATTTTATTTGAAACAACCAATTGATGAATCAAAGAAGAGTTTGTTCTAGTTTGTTCTAATGTATATAAATATATATTCTGCTACACGGGAAGGCTTGCAATACCGTAGAAGTTACAGATGACAACTGGCATGCTACACAAGTGACATTACAGTAAGCTGTGCCAGAATTCAAAGATCAGAGATTAACAATATAAACCATCCTCAATAAAACCTTGTCTCTCTTTCAGCCATGCTGCCCTAGGTACAGATTGTACAGTGATTAAATTAACATGCTCACCAGCTGTCATTAGAATGCAAATATCATCTGAACTTGCTAACAATGTTTCATATATCTTTATTATATGAAATTATTAAATCAGTAAGTATACATTCAAAAGAGCTGGACCATTTGCTAATACTGTGTCTCAAAGGGCTTAAGGCAGAGGCTGTGTCTCCTTACCTTTTGGAGTCCTGACTTTGATGGAGTTGCACTTGGCCCTAGATGTAAAGGGGTTATGGAGTATAAATAGTCTGCTCTCAGGTAGAGTTACTGTGTGAGAAACAGTGCTTCTCTTCTGACCAGGTTCTCACTAAAATCCCTCCTATTTATACTGTGTCAGAGAAGAAGAGGTAGTTTGATCACATCCTGGAAGTCGATGTCCTTGGCATTGTTCCTCTCACTGACGAAATTAAGAAACATAGTGTCATCAAATATCTTGTATTTTCATTCTCACTCTGTCTCTCCTGGCAGAAAGATAGCACCAGATCCAGAGCAGAATGCTGGAACTAAAGGATAATTAGAAAAAGGAGATGTCTGAAGGCTAAAACTAGCTTCCTTCAGTGAGCTTGGGCAGAGCACTGCTTATAGGTCAGTGTGCTAGCTCAAGTAACATACAGAAGAGGTATTTAGCATTTTTAAACACCACCCCTACTGACTTTAAACATGTGCATTCTGTTCACTTAGAAGGCTCTGACATGGGATTATATTCCACAGACTGTTTAACTTTATCCAAACACAAAGTGTGAAATACTAAGTAACCCGTGATGTTCACTGCCTTCATTTAATATGTGGATTTTAGCAACTGCAAAAGCAGTTGTCTGTGCAAAACATGCCTTTAAGAGGTTAAAATAAATCATAAAATGTGTTCTAAAACTGTGTTATAAAAACTGTTCTAAAACTGTTGTGTTAAAATAATTATTACATAATGTGTTATATAACAGTTATCCTCTTGTTGGCAGGGAGGGAAAGGAAAAAAACAGCTTCAGTAAAGTTTAATTTGATTCATGGTTGGGATTAATTATATCTTTTTTTTCTCTTCATCCACGAAATACAAAAGGAGTCACTTTCTGCATATTCTGACTGAATTTATTACTCCAAAGAGTTTATGATGTACAGACTCCATTTGAGTTAGAATAGGACATTCAAACCAATAATACATTTCAAGCCAATTTTCTGCAGGATTTAAAAGCCACATACAATTTTAAAAACCAGCTTAATTACAAGGGATACTATGGTCATCAAAACAACTTTAAAGGGACACTATAGTCACCCAGACCACTTCAGCTCAATAAAGTGGTCTGGGTGCCAGGTCCCTCAGGTTTTAACCCTTCAGATGCAAACATAGCAGTTTCAGAGAAACTGTCTTCCGGACTGTCTTCCGGACAGCCATTAGAGGCGCATCTGTGACGCTGGAGGGATAGTATGCCTCCATCCCGCAGAGCGTCCATAGGAAAGCATTGAGAAATGCTTTCCTATGGACACTTTAAATGTGCGCGCATGCACATTCGGCTACGCTGACGTCAGACGAGGGAGCTGACGTCGGCAGGGGAGGAGAGGTCACCTGCGCTGAGGGAGCCTGGCACTAGAATAAGGTAAGCTGCTGAAGGGGTTTTCACCCCTTCAGCCAGTGGCGTACATACCAGGGTCGCAGGGGTCGCAGCTGCGACCGGGCCCGGCCCACCAGGGGGCCCGGCCGCCCCTGCGACCCGGTGTGTACCCACAGGGCCAGCCTCCTCTCCTGGGGGGGCTCAGGAGCCGACCACCCCAGGGCCCCCCGAGGCTGGTGCTGCTGACACACGGCAGGCGGGTGGCCGGTCGGGCAGGAGCACTCAGTGCTTCCTCTTCAGCTCCCTCGCGCACCGCACTGATACCGGAGCCGGAAGATGACGTCATCTTCCGGCGCCGGCATCCCTACGCGAGGGAGCTGAAGAGGAAGCACTGAGTGCTCCCTCGCGCACCCGCCTGCCCGACCGGCCACCCACCCAGGAGCCCAGCAGCACCACTGGACCCCAGGGAATCTCCCCAGCACTCCAAAAGGTAAGGAGGCTGGGGGGATTAAATTTTTTTTAAAACGTGTGTTAGTGTGAGTGTTAGAGTGTGTGAGTGTTAGTGTTAGAGTGTGTGAGTGTTAGAGTGTGTGTTTGTGTGAGCGTTAGAGTGTGTGAGCGTTAGAGTGTGTGAGCGTTAGTGTGTGAGCGTTAGTGTGTGAGCGTTAGTGTGTGAGTGTTAGTGTTAGAGTGAGTGTTAGAGTGTGTGAGTGTTAGTGTTAGAGTGACTGTTAGAGTGTGTGAGTGTTAGAGTGTGAGAGTGTGTGAGTGTTAGAGTGTGTGAGTGTTAGAGTGACTGTTAGAGTGTGTAAGTGTTAGTGTTAGAGTGACTGTTAGAGTGTGTGTGTTAGAGTGTGTGAGTGTTAGTGTGAGTGTTAGTGTGTGTCTGCTAGTGAGTGTCAGTGAGTGTGTTACTGTGTGTGTCTTAGTTCAGCTGCAGGGTTAAAAGTAGAGGGACCTGACACCCAGACAACTTAATTGAGCTGATGTGATCTGGGTGTCTGTAGTGGTCCTTTAAGTGTGTGTGCATCTGCATGCACTGGCGTACATACCGCGGTCGCAGCCCTGTAACCCCTGCGACCAGGTGCCCACCGCCATGTGTTGCGGCCCGGCCCACACGCGTGGGGAGGGGGGGGTGCACGGTCAATTTTCGCAACGGGGCCCCATGGGTCATGTGTACGCCACTGGCTTCAGCGCCACGGGAAGGGAATTAGCTTTGTTTTCCTGACACTATAGTAATCCTTTAACTCAATGGAGCAGTTTTGGTGTATAGATCATGCCCCTGCAGTCTCATTGCTAAATTTTCTGCCATTTAGGAATTAAATCACTTTGTTTATGCAGTCCTAGCCTCCCTGCATGTGACTTACACAGCCGTCTTAAACACAACCTGTAAAGTGAGATATAATGTTATACTTTCTTTATTACGCAGTCGGTTTCATTTAGAATTTTCTTGTCTTCTGAACCGTTAATAGCTTGCAGGAGCCTGCAATTTACAGAGCAGGAGATCAGGGCTTCTAAAGTAAGTTAAAATCTGATTGAAATTTAAACCATTTTTTTTTCATGCAGTCTGTGTCAGTCAGAGCCGCACACTAAGGAGGCCCCCTTGCCACCCAGTGGGCATGTGTCAGCAGGGGCCCGGTCGGACGCTGTGACGCTTAAACAGCGCGACCGGGCCCCTTCCTGTTCGGCAGCCGGCTGGGAGGAAGTGAATGCCACGCGGGAGGAGGAAGGCAGGAAGGAGGGGCGTTCCAGAGGATAACGCCCAACTGCCTCAGCCTGCCACTGAACCCCAGGCTAAATGTATGTCAGTATGTCTGTGTGTGTGTATGTCAGTATGTTTGTGTGTGTATGTCAGTATGCCTGTGTCTGTATGTGTGTATGTCAGTATGCCTGTGTGTGTGTGTCAGTATATCTGTCTGTGTGTCAATAAGTCTGTCAGTGTATGTGTCTGTGTGTGTCAGTATATCTGTCAGTGTATGTGTCTGTGTGTGTATGTGTGTGTGTCAGTATGCCTGAATGTGTGTCAATGTGTGTCAATTTGTCTGCCAGTATATATTTGTGTGTCAATGTATGTGTGCGTCAGTATGTATCTGCGAAAGTTTTAATATGTCTGTCCGTATTGGGGGGTGGGGCCCAAGGAAAATGCATTGCCCAAGGTCCTAATCATATTATAGACGGCCCTGTTGTCAGATACATAAACACAGATACACACAACTTGACACAGACACACACTGGCACATACAAAAAAAAGTGCAATTTTTTTTTGTACCGGGGGAGGGGGAGGTTCCACAATGTTGATACACTATGTCAAAGGATTCAACAGGAAAAATTAATTGGGAGCCCCTGGTCTATCGTATGTGATGGTAATTACCTATGTATTATCAATAGCATTTGGATGTTTAGAGCTGAAGCTGTACAGCACCAGATGATTATTCTATTAATTTCTTCTATGTGTAATTGTTATACTACTTTTGTATTACAGCAGGGGGCTGTAATAAAAGTTTAATTGTTTTTAAAAAGTGATGGACAAAGTCATCACTCTTCTTAGTAGCATCTCACATAATCAGAATTTTGTTCCACTTAACGCCTTGCACACGACAGCCTGAAGTAAAATCACTTCCACAATTCTTTTTCACAATATAATTGTTAAATAGACCAGTATAGGTTAACACGCAGGTCCCTAACAGTCTTGTGGCCAAAACGTAGACCTCTGCTTTAAAACTACCAATGTTTGTCATCCTTGCACTAGATATTTTCTTTGAAATTATAGGATACCAGTAGTTGGCGAACCTTGACAAGGACATTGGAAATTTTAGGTGAAACAATTGGAAAACAATCTTTGTATCCGTTGTTTACCAACTCAGCTATTTCAAGCTTAAACTAGTGCTGCCTCAAATTTCCCTTTACTTGTGAATAAAACCCATACGTGGTTAAAGTCCTCTTTGAAGAACTCCAACATGTTTGGTCCAGCCTTGGCAAATAATATCAATGTGTTTGGGTTTTGATGTCCAAAGTAACATTTGCTAACAATTGTTAAGCATTCTGTGTGTAGTCTGGAAATGTTTTTTGACTGGATTACTGTAATAAACATTTAACTCGCAAGTTGGAATAAACTTGGAATTAATAATAAAATTAATAACTAAAAATAATAACTTAAAAACCGAGTGAAAAGTCAGAGTCCACACTCCTTGCTTTCGGCAATCCAATAATATTTATTAAGAGAGGCTAATTAAACAAATAAACAATACATATACATTTGAAATAGGCTAGTATATGTTGCTACTAAAACTAACATTGACTGAATGGAAAGTAGGCTAAATTAACATAGTAGAACAGGCATAGACACGTGATACAGTTACCACTCCATTGATCAGCAGCTGAGAGTAAGAGAGAGAGGGTGTGTATAGTGGGGAGAGGGGAGAGAGAGAAGGTGAAGAGAGGTAATTCAAAGAGAGAGAGAATGTGCTATTCACAGGGCTTTAAACAGGTTAGCCCTTCCTTCTGCTGGACATACCTCCCTTAGTCAATCCCTTAGGATGTAACAGAACCAGAGTGCCTCCTGGGGTAAGGGGGATTGCATTGGAAGGGAATGGAGGAGGAGTTTATCAACAACCCAACTGATTTTGCCTGGTGAAAGGCCATGTGCTTCACAGAGGACTCCATTATTGCCTAAGGGTAGAATGGGGGCTTGAATCCCTGTATTAGAACACAATAACACTTAATTGGCATACAGTTTGGCTGTTAATCACATCCCCCCCACTTATTACAATTACTCTCCAGTGAAACCTTACAAAACCTTAAACTATGTAGATAAAAGGAAAATTGTTAGCCAGTCTCTAATTTTTATGGTCTAGAATGCAAAATATTTGTCTAACTCCTGCCATTTTCCCATATTGACATGTTAAACTATCCATAAGACTGTGAACCCCCTTCCCCAACATACACCACATCAGTCAGTGTTTGGTAGAAACAAGGTTTTTGTATAAATTATGTTTAGTGCACCACCTCTTTGGATTTAAAGGTGTTTGTTAGGTAAATAGGGTATGTTGGTA